AAATTAGTTTGTAATACAGGAAAGTCCAGAAAAGTCTATACCTGATCACAGAATCTCGTTACCATGAGAAATCTCTTTGGCTGCCAAGAGAATATGAACACCTTTGTAGCATAGACCTGAAAAACTCACCTGAACAACTCATTTACTCTCCAGTTTTGTATTTTTATAATTATTGCAAAAAAAACATTTGAGAAGGACAAACCTGAAGGAACAAGATTTTAAGAACTGAATCAACTAAACTACTAACAAGTTCGGAAAGCAAATACCTGGTAAAGAAGTCTTCTACACTTGAAATCTCCTCAGAGTCTCTAGCAAATTGAACACCTTCTGAATCACGTACCTGAGGAAATCAGAATTACAATAGTTAGTCTTTAACTCAAGTTAAATATCTCGTATTTACCTTGTCAGTTTCATCACTTCCAATGTACAGATCATGAATCCATTTTTTACTCATAGTCTCTGAAGACGTGAGTTGTATTTTTAATCCAAAGAATCAAAAACGGGACAGTCTTTTTCTAAAGACTTTTAAGTCGTGGGTAAAAGTAACAAGTCTCTGCCTCAAGAGACTTTTAAGTCGCGGGTCATGTTCTCCAGTTTCTGGTCTTTAGACTGGTCAATGGACATGTTTACCATCCACCACGTCAAAAAACCAGTTCATCTTCTTTGTCTTAAACCTTTTTTCAAGCCGTGGGTACTAGCTTAAGACTTCTTTAAGCATTTGGTCCTTTCTTCCATCCAACAAACCGAGAATCTGGCCCCTAGTCTTTGTCTTTGAGAAATTCCCAGCCTTTGATCGTTAGTTGTCTAAGGGCTTTAGCCTTTGATCGTTAGTTGTCTAAGGGCTTTAGCCTTGTGTTTATGGGTCATAGTCTCTGTTTTTAAGACTTCTTTAAGCATGCACTACCAACCAACCAACCCATAGTTTTATTTTCCATTCCTTAACATCCTTTGCGCATGCACTACCAACCAATCCAACTGGTCATTGTCCCAGACAAGAATCTGCCTGTTTATAGTCTTAACTCTTAAGACTTTTGATAAGCCGTGGGGTAGAATTATTCTAAAGTAGTGAATATGTTCAGTCTTTTGTCTAAAGACTTTTAAGCCGAGGGTAAAGTAACGGATTCACTACTTTTCTCAAGCCGTGGGTAGAAGTAAAGGGTCTTTGCCTTTCGACTTTTTATCAGCCGTGGGTACTAGTAAAGCAAAGAATCCCTTTTCAAGTAAAAGTCTTTGCCTTAAGACTCTTTTTAAAGACTTTTATAAGCCGAGGGTACTAACGGATTCACTACTTTTTTCAAGCCGTGGGTACTAGTAAACTAATGAATCTTCTCTGATCCATAGTCTTGCTTCTTTTATAAGCCAACTCATAGTCTTTTGCTAAAGACATTTAAGCATGCACTACCAAACAACCCATAGTTTATTTTCCATTCCTTAACACCCTTTGCGCATGCACTACCAACCAATCAAACGGGACATTCTCGCTTTTTGGTTCATAGTCTAGACTGATCCAAAACCGTCCCACTCTTTTTCTAAAGAGTTTTTATATAAGCCGTGGGTATGTAAGGATTCTGTTTTAGACTTTGGTTTTGTCTTTTTAACTTTCCTTAGCCGTGTGTCTTGCCTAAGACTTTTTGTTAAGTCTTTAGACTTTTGATAAGCCGTGGGTAGTATTATAGTAAAATAGTGAATCCGTTCAGTCTTTTGTCTAAAGACTTTTAAGCCGAGGGTAAGTAACGGATTCACTACTTTTCTCAAGCCGTGGGTATGTAATTTATAGTCCTTACACTTTAAGCCATCGGTCATGTTATTCTTCACCATTTTATAGTCCGTAGACTTATCAGTCTTTTGCTAAAGACATTTAAGCATGCACTACCAACAAATCAAATGGGACATTCTCACTTGTTATTAGTCTTTAAGACTTTTATAAGCCGTGGGTGTAGTAAAGTAGTGAATCCGTTCAGTCTTTTGTCTAAAGACTTTTAAGCCGAGGGTAAAGTAACGGATTCACTACTTTTCTCAAGCCGTGGGTATGTAATTTATAGTCCTTAGACTTTAAGCCATCGGTCATGTTATTCACCATTCCTTTGCGCATGCACTACCAACCAATCAAACGGGTCATTGTTCCCAAAAGAATCTGACTGTTTATAGTCTTAAGACTTTTGATAAGCCGTGGGTATTATAGTAAAGTAGTGAATCCGTTCAGTCTTTTGTCTAAAGACTTTTAAGCCGTGGGTAGAGTAACGGATTCACTACTTTTCTCAAGCCGTGGGTATGTGACGGTTTTATAGTCCTTAGACTTTAAGCCATCGGTCATGAATCCCTTCCAACAAGTCTAAAGACTTTATCCATCCAACGCAACAAACCCATAGTCTTTCTCTAAAAGACTTTCAAGCCGTGTGTTTTAGTTTCCATCCCCTGACTTTCCTTTGCTTCGACATGCACTACCAACCAACGGGACAATGTCCCCAACAAGAATCTGACACACAACACTATTAGATTAGTGTATGTATATGATCTGTTGGGGCTAAAGGGAAAACAGAAACATCAAAGGAAGTGTCTGCATATGATCCATTCTTTAACTTCCTTTAATTAGGCATGCACTACCAACCAATAAGATTGACCAAACGGGACAATGTTCCCCAACATGAATCTGACAAAAACACTATTAGATTAGTGTCTCCCTATGATCTGTTGGGGGCTAGAGGATGACCAACCTTAATTACCTTGTCATGTGACTTCAGGTCACAAATTAGCATCACCCACATTGAAGACCAAGTTCGTTCCTCACGTGGTATAACTAGAGGCAGCAAAGGAGCCACTAATTCTCGAACTTGTACTCACACTCTTCGCTTTCCATTTCCAGTGCCTAGCAATCTCGCAGCTACCTGACAACGAAAATTTTCCAATTCCACCATTAGAAAACACTTAGGAAATCCTCATCCGCTAAAATCTAGAGGAACGCAATGCTAATGAAACCGATTGATCAACTAGCAAGTAGCAACCTTATGCATTGGAATACAAATCTTGCTAATTTCCAAGTATTTTATCACCAGTGATGTAAAGGTTTCGACTTCCATAAAATCCCAATTCTGAAATCTACGGTCTTTGAACAAAACCAGCATTCTACCGAAACAATTCAATCAACAATCGAACCAGTAAACAGAGCATAATCACCGGAGAGTTAGATAATTTCTGACCTTGGTGCACAGAGTGGATGATCCGATCGGAAATAACATATCCTTGTGACGGAGATGTCAAATTCGTCTGTCGACCAACTAATTCAACCAAGCGACCTGCGAGAGAGGGAGAGATTTTACAAATATAAAAAGTTATAATGGTGTCTTCCGATATTCGAAGAAAAAGACAAGTCGGTGATGGATATAAGGAGGAATCTCCATGAACAAGGGTTGCGATGCGAGAGAAACGATCGAATCCCAAAAAAAAATCGGAATCGAACCGATCAAAAACGAAAACCCTAAAAAAGATCGAACCCTAAAAAAAAATTGAATTCGCGATCTAATAGAAATAGAAAACCACCAATCTAAGAATGAAACAAAATTTTCCAATTGTGAAAATAGGTTTCATGCGGAATTAAATAGAAAAACAAAAGATATATCAGATATCACGCATGTTCCGAGTCTTTACCTGTAAATTCGATGGACGGATGAAAGCTCTTGTCGTTGGTTCGATTAGTATGGCCGGAACCCTAGAAAGTATTTCCGATTCCAATTCTCGTGGGGAGATCAGTGAACGCCACTGTTAATCACTTTATCTTGTGATTTCCCCCAAGGAAGAAAGCGTCGGCACTGGAAAGAGAAGTAATTAGCGTTTTAATTTTTTTTCGCAATAATGAAGTCGAGCAGAGTTTTAAAGGGAAGAAGAAAAGGAAAGGGAAACTTAATCTAACGGTTAAGATAACTCTTTTTTAATCCAACGGTTTAGATGACTCATTTTGAATCTAACGTCTCTCTTAAGTTATTTTTTTTGAAATATCTCATGTGAAATAGTGAGTTAATCCAACGGTTTAGATGACTCATTACTAATACTCCAAAATTTTAAAAACCGTATCATGTGAAATAGTGAGTTTGCTAAACGTAATTGCATATTTGTATTGTTTTCAGGTTGTTTCATTGAGCTGGAAACAAGTTTTCACACGGAAGAATCGTTCGTCAGCAAATACCAGCAATTATTTGAAATCTTGCTGAAGAACATGGAGAACAGGTTTAAGGTTTCATTGTGATGAACAAGTGTGTTTCGTTGTTTGTTTTTGTAGCATTTTCTGATTCTTTTGTGTGTGTACGGATATGGAGGGTTTGTATTGGTTTCTTCCCATTTTCGGGTTTATCTTTCCCACTCGTAGTTTCTGCAGCTAAAACTTGATAAAGTTGTGATCTTTCAACGTTTTTGAATTTGATTATGATATGGTAAAGAGAACAATTATGTTGCAGAAAGACAATACTTAAATTTACTATCAAAACCTGTCAACTCAAATCAAACAGCACTCAAAGATCTTCGCTTTAGCCTCTATTGGATAATACAGCAATAATCTATATTCTCACTCATGTCACTGAAACGATCTGATATAGCTTTATGAGTCTACATCCCTCGCTTCGACTGGCTTCTTGTCATAGGTCATGAGCACAAAATCAGTCACTTGTGTGATTGTAATCATGTCCAGGTTTCACAAAAAAATGATTGCTGGAAACAAGTCAGATACAAGGACGAGCTCATTGTTAAAACTCCATGTTAATGGTGGTTGGTTGATAGTGCGGGTTTGAGGACTACACAATTGTGCACATACATGCAGGAATCTGAATCATCGTCATCTGTATCGCTTACTTCGCTGCAAACAAGACATATAATCGTTTTGAATTGCCAAGGGAACAAACAACCAACAATGTAAGAGAGACTATGCTTTTGAGCACAAGATAAACCCATCTATCAAAGAGAAGTCACCAATAATCTTAACCTCTACAAGATTTTTCCAACGGACATCCCTTTTAGTCACCTGTGCAGCTGAGTGATTTGTCGAGTAGTTTGCAACCTCTTTCTCTTAGTTTCGACTCAAGACCGAAAAACTTGATCCCTGAAACCACCAAACCAGCTGTCTTCTTCTTTGTCTCCTCAACTAACATCTCATCATACACTACCATCTCAGCTTCCGTCATGACTCTGCGCTTCTTCAGCTCTGCAAAGACCTCTCTTGCTGCTTTTATCGTTCCATGTTTACACATACCAAAGATAATCGCAGAGTATGTAACTTCACTGATGGAAACACCTTCTTGCTTCATCTCATCTACTACTTCTATAACCTTCTCTGCGTTACTACTCCCTCTGCATACATGACAAACACGAAGAGCGTACTTGAACTCCATAGGACCACTCTCAACGTTTCCCAAACATTCACGAACTAGTATCATCACTGCATCGATTTCTCCGATTTGGCTCAGTCCTTTAGTAAGTGACAGATAAGCAGCTACGGAAGGAACACAAGACATCTCGGTGATTTTCTCATGGCATGAACAAGCCTCTTCCACTTCTCCTTTCTCAACATAACAGCAAATCGCAATACTGTACGATGATGAATCTGGCTCAAACCCAAAACCACTCATCTCATTGAAAAGTGACAAAGACTTTTCAATATCTCCCATCTTGTAAAGAGCTTCCATGAGAACGTTGTACACAGAGACACTTCCATGACCTTTACTCTTTAACACATCAAAGACATCTAAAGCCATAGCTCTCTTCTCTTCATCATCACACAACAATCTGAAAATCTCAGTTATGTAATCTCCAACAGGAAATCCTAACTTCCCAATTCGCTCTACCAAACTCAAAAAATCATCCAATCTCTTCATCACCACATATCCAACCATAATTGGACTTAGCGTCTCAAAATCTGGCTCAAGCTCTTCCTCCATTGCAATCTGGAAGAGCTTAAACGCTTTATCAACCTGCTTCACACTACACAGCCCTTTAATAACAGCATTATATATCCCTAAATCAGCTATATACCCAGAATCCACAAGATCTTGCCACAGATCACAAGCATCCCTAACCTTCCCATCCCTTACAAACCCTTCAATCAAAACCCTGTAGATATCTCTATCAATCAAAACCTGCTTCTCCTTCATCTCCACAAACAACTCATACCCTCTCTCAACTCTACCGTCTCTACACAGACCCATAACAAGTGTTCCATACGCCATTACATCAGGTTTAATCTCATCACGCTTCATCTCATCCCAAACTCTCAAACTTGCATCCATGTTCCCTTGAGAAACAAGAGTCTTGATCATCGCCGTGTAAGCAAAAACGTCAGGCTTACACAGATTATCTCTCATTCTCTGCAGAATTTCAAGCATTTCCTCAATTCGACCAGCTTTACATAACCCTTTAGCCAAAATCATGAAAGTAGTACTCTCCTCCACCAACCCATCTTCTTTGAAATCCTCGTAAACGGCTAAAGCTAAATCAAAGTAGCCATTTTTCATCAGAGCATCCATTATCCTATTGTACAGGAAGACTCTAGGCTTGAATCCAAACTTCTTCATCTTCTCGTAAACGTAATAAACTCTTAAGCCTCTCTTGTTATCTGAATGCATTCTGATCAGAATCTCGAATTGTTTCTCCGACGGAGGTCTTCCTTGTGAATCCATCAGCTCCGGCAACTGATCGGCGGCACGGAAGTTTCCGGTTCGATTAAGGCAATACGCAAAGGCGTTGTAAGAGGAGAAATCGTGTTTATACCCCTTTTGCTTACCGGCCCAATGGAAGAACTTGGCGGCGACTGCAGCGTCGTTTCCTGTTTTCAGAACCTCGGCGACGATGCTCGGCGTGACGCGGCGGAGTTTGTTGAGCTCAGAGACCACAGAGGGACCCCAGTGGTTACGATTCTTCCGGAAAGCGTCGAGGACGAACCTCGCGATTGGGGAGAGGCGTTCGGAGGCGGCGGAGATCACCGTGGAAGGAGGAGACGAAGGTGGAGCTCTTTCCGAAGGGAGATGGGTTTCTGGGTCCCATTTGCGGAGATCGAAAGTCGTTCGGCCGACGACGGAGTTGGATTGCGGTTGGGGTGAATCCTGGGAGAGAGATTGGCGATTGGAGAAGAGACCACCGTAGACGACGGTACGGTTACGCGACGGCTTGCGGTGGCCGTAGAAGAAATTGGGTTTAAGAGATTTATCAGGGAGATTCGGAGGTTTAGCTGATTTCATTGCGAGTGTTGTCTTCTTCTTCTCTGTTTCTCAATCGAGTTTTGAAACTTTGTTTGATTATCCTGAATGCTAAATACGACGCCGCTTCTTTGTTCATTTTGAGTCAGATTTGGTCGGACTGTATACAGTTCGGTTTGATTTCTTTTTACAAGGCCCTTACGTATTAAACAAACAAATCTCCACCTCTAATGTTCACGAATTGCTCAGACTTTCTTGCATTTTTCAGTTGATGTTTTTTTATATAATTTGTTAACTAAAGAAGAATGACAACAACTGATTATAAAGTCACAAAAATGATGCAAGTTTTGCGACTTTGGTCCATGGCAATCAACACACTTCTGTTTTGTACACACAACAGAGACCAAAAAACAGTACAAATAGCACTTTGGCTCCAACCCACCCTTATATTTCCGTTTTAAATACTATTTTAGTATAAAACTTATCTCCAACCCACCTTTATATTTCCCATCAAAATAAGGGAACACTATAATTTCCCCCAAATATAGTGTAACTTTTTTTCTCCCTTATTTTTGATGTTATACTTTTTTTATTTACATAATGATCCCTCAAATTTAACTTGTTTTTATTTTAAACCTAAACAAATAATAAAAAATTATTTATTTCTCTTATTTTACTAGAACTAATCATAAAACATTATATTAAAAAATGACATGACTTATATTATGAAAAGAAATTAAATTTCTACTTTATTCATTACAAAATAAATAATTAGAAAGCTCCAAAAAATTAAGTGGAGCTAATTTGTAAAACTTATAAATAAAAGGTTCTTACAATAAATTTTGAATTAGAATATACTATAGAATATTCCTTTTTAGTGTAAAAAATAAGGGAATACATTGGAGAGAAACATCACACTATTATGAGGGAACACTATAATAAGGGAGAAAATAGTGTAATACATTGGAGATGGTCTTAACATTCTAAAAACCATATCGAGAACACAAAAACATCAAAACTCTTCAAAAAACTCTTCAATGATTAACGTATAAAGGAGCTGCAACAAATTTAAAGTCTACGTTATAAGCAAGTCATAAACTTGTAGGTGACCAAATTGAGTTAGATGAGGTAGCTTTTGGATATCTAAGGTTGCTCCCTACGTCTCTTTTGTTTTCTTTCTAACTACTGAAATTGACGTCTATTTTGTTTCTTTTCACTTGTGGGGAAAGTGAAAGTCAACCAAAATTAGGCCGCTTATAGAATTTTAAATTTGTAATTAATTTCGACTTAAAGGAACAAAATAGTTATGTGACCCTTTTTTGACAAAAATAAGTAACCGGTTGTAAATGTGGAATAGTCGGGGTATAATCACTTTATCACTATCAGAATATGGAAGCGACTCTCCATAAACACCATTGACTTGAGCTTACAGGAAACAACATTTTCTCAGAACAAATGCTTTTTAACTTGAAAAAAGATATATAGATAAACCTAAATATTATATACCAATAATGTACAGTATATGAATTACTATCGCAATTACTATCACTTGAACAAATTTATAAAATTGTGACATATTCACATTAAATTATATATCAACTTTAATATATGTTAACAACATGCAATACGTAGAATTGAATCCGAATAAAAATATGAGAAATTTTATGAAATACACCTCTTGAGGTGCAAATTTTCAAAACTACACCTATAGTGTGGAAATTTTCAAAAATACACATTTTCCCAATTTTAATATATATGTTTGGGTTCACTAATCCTATATTAGGGTTTAGATTTTAGGGTTTAGGGTTTAGATTTAAGGGTTCAATGTTAGATTTTAGGGTTTTGGATTTATATTTTAAGGTTTAGAGTTTTTTTACTAAATGAAAAAAAGTGTAGTTTTGAAAATTGGCACCATAGAGGTGTATTTTTGAAAATTTGCACCTCAAAAGGTGTAGTTTTGAAATTTCCCCTAAAAATATCAACAACATTAACACTAGACTACATTTTCATGTTTGCCAAAATTAGTATTGAGTTTATTCGATTTACTTTCCTAATACTTAGTTTCTATAAACTTGGTTAAAAATCATGCAAACTAGGCATAGTTTTGATTATTCTTTACGTTGTTTAATTGCGATATTTTTTTCTGCATAAAATAGTAGCTAGATTTTATCTGTTGGAGTCAAATTTCAATTATTACTCGCGTAGACAAAAAAGATAAAATAAAGTCGAATATAACTGACAGTATGTTTTAAAAAATAAAATAACATACAGTACGTCTAAGAAAAATTATGTGTCTATCGATTCGTTGGCGAATCATGTTAGGTGAGATGGTTAGGCAGTCGCTACGACTAGGCAGCAAAGTTAACTCAATCACCAACGATTATTACTTAACAATAACTAATGAAACAATAGAAAATGAGGAATGCAATCTTCGCCTTAAAACCAAAAAAAATGAGGAATGCAAATGCAACAATTGATTGCTTATACTTTGATCAAAAAGAAAGAATATTTTGTTTGCTTATTCAATCATTGCAATTGCCAATTGCATCATCGTAAAAGACCTAATTGAAATACTCATGAAAAGAACAAACTCGTTCGTGAGATTCATTCGAACGACGACATTGTTTTTGTGTGACTTGACTTGATAGTAAGGGTTTAAACATTTGTAAAATGTACTTGAGGGTTGTAAAATAGAATTGGTTAAAGTTGAAGGACTTTTGTCATAAAAGTCCCTTAAATATTTCAACAAAAAATAAATAAAATGGTAAGAGCTGAATTGAAGGAGGCGAGGAGAGAGTGGTGACCAGGTCGTAAGTTGTGCTTTGGTTTTGCATTGCACGTTTCTTTCCTTCCTTCCTCGCTTTCTTCTTCTTCCTCCGCTTCTCCCTACTTTCTCTCTCAGTCTCTCTCTTCCGTTTCTCCTCCTCTCTCTTTCCTTTCATAAAGTCGCGCCTTGTTTTCCCCCTTTTTCAACCATCACACAACACAACTCTTCTTCCTCCTCTCAATCCGTTTCTCGCAAAATTCTCAGGTACTCTCTCCTTCTCTGTCTTTTCCCCGACCAATACGACGTTTCTTGTCTCTTCGTGTCTAGTCAATTCCTAATCGGAATTCGATCGGTTGCTTCATTTTTATTTTTGAACACAATCGGATTTTGATCAAAATTGTTGAATCGAATCAAATTGTGGATGATGATAATTTTGTCAATTATGGGTTTCTTCTGATCCGTAATTTCTGAGATGGGTTTGGTCATTAGACAACGAAATTCGATCAAATCCGACGACTTTTCTCAGACTCGTATCTGCATTTTGTTGTTCATTTCTCTCTGTTTCTGTTCTTTAGACAAACATGCTCTCTGCCAATTAACATATAAACTAATCATACTTGGGAACATGTTAAAAAAAAAAAACAAACCTTTGATCTTATTTTTCTCATAAATGTATTCAACTTTTGTGTGTCTTTTTCTTGTTTGTTTATGATTCTTTTGATTCAGGTCCCACTTCCAACAAATATTGTTTATTTCCTTACTCTATGGTGGCAATATGCTTTGACTTCTTGTTGTATTCATCTGTTTATAAATTATTTTTCTTTTTAATCCAAACAGCAATCTGCAGCAGCATGAGCTTCATGTTTGCTGGCCATTGAGTCTGTTTCCTGGAGTCTTGTTCTCACTACTCAATACCAACAACACAAAAGCCTTTGTGAGGTGCCTTTAACTTTCAGATTCTTCTGAATCTCCAAATGCTGAGTTTCTCTAGAGCCAGAAGTACAGGAAGAAACTCAAGACCTCTCGCAGGAGGTTGGTCTAAGAATCACACTTCTATTTGACAATATCTGCAACATTTAGATATCCAGATGATTTTAATCTCTTTCTTTGATTATGAAATAATGAAGGGATGGATTACTTAGAACCCAAAAAGAAGAGCAATGTCATGGGAAAAATTATCTTGGGAGTTTCTCTTACAGTTTTATTCATTATTTATCTCAACCACAGATCAAGTTCCTCATCCTCAACCGCGGTAACTCCACAGTCTTATATGCTTGAATCTTGTTCTGTTACTCTTTTCTTAAATGCTTCCTTTAGTATATGTTTTGTAATCTCAATTGTGTTGTCCTTCACAGTTCTCTCGTAGCGAGGAAGGAGTGACTCATGTGTTAGTCACTGGTGGCGCTGGTTATATCGGATCACACGCTGCGTTGAGGCTGCTAAAAGATTCATACCGTGTAACCATTGTGGTAAAGTTTCACTCTTTGATAAACATTTGGGAAGTGACCAAACTGCAATGTTCTGTTTTGTAAGACTAATACTTTTGTCTTCACAAACAGGACAACCTTTCTCGAGGGAATCTTGGCGCTGTCAAGGTCTTACAAGGATTGTTCCCAGAAGAAGGGAGGCTTCAATTCATTTATGCAGACTTAGGAGATGCCAAAGCTGTAATCTTTCATATCCTTAAGAGTCTTTTGAGCGTTTTCTTCATGGTGAGTTTGTATGAAGTATGGTGTTTTGTTTTTTCAGGTGGAGAAAATCTTCTCAGAGAACGCGTTTGATGCTGTTATGCATTTCGCTGCGGTGGCATATGTTGGAGAGAGCACTCTAGATCCTCTAAAGTACGAATCTCTAGTCACTGTTTTGTTCATAAACACTCTCTGCAAGATTGGAGTTCTTTGGTGGCTAAAAAACTGTTTTTTTTTCGTTCTGTAGGTATTACCACAACATTACATCAAACACGTTAGTGGTTCTTGAAGCTGTGGCTAGACATAAAGTGAAGAAGTTGATATACTCAAGCACATGTGCTACTTATGGAGAGCCTGAGAAGATGCCTATTGTTGAAGTTACTCCACAGGTACTCAAAAAAACAGTTTTCAGGAAAAAACTCTCTTTTTTGCTTGATCATGTCTCATCAGATTTGGCTATTGTTGATTCTCAGGTCCCTATTAATCCTTACGGGAAAGCTAAGAAGATGGCTGAAGATATGATTCTTGATTTCTCTAAGAACTCTGACATGGCTGTCATGATCCTAAGGTTGGTTTCATGTTTTCTTGAAGCCTTGTAGTATCTTATTTCATCAACCAACAAATGTCTGATCATCTTTATGAATTTCACAGATACTTTAACGTGATCGGTTCAGATCCAGAAGGTAGATTAGGAGAAGCTCCAAAGCCCGAGCTACGAGAACATGGACGCATTTCAGGTGCTTGTTTCGATGCTGCTCGTGGCGTGACTAAAGGCCTTCAGGTAAAAAAAAAAGAAACACTTCTTCTCTCAAACTCTCTATGCTTCTTCTTTATTCAACTCTAATGGATTCTCTAAATCAGGTCAAAGGAACAGACTACAAAACAGGAGATGGGACTTGTGTTCGTGACTACATAGACGTCACTGACCTCGTTGATGCTCACGTGAAGGCTCTCGAGAAAGCTAAGCCTAGAAATGTGGGAATCTACAATGTAGGTACTGGAAAAGGAAGATCGGTGAAGGAGTTTGTGGAAGCGTGTAAGAAAGCAACAGGAGTAGATATCAAAGTAGATTTCTTGCCTCGGCGACCTGGAGATTACGCAGAGGTTTACAGTGATCCGTCAAAGATTCTGAGAGATCTGAAGTGGTCTGCTCGTTTCACTAATCTTCAAGAAAGTCTTGAAGTTGCTTGGAGGTGGCAAAAGAAGCATCCCCATGGATATGCTTCTTCTTAAATGACAAACAAGAACAGAGTTTCTAATTTTTTAAAAAGTTTTGCTTAATGATATTTGAAAGATTAGCTTATAGAAAGGAATTGGTTTATAATTGCCTTGAAAAGTATTCAGTTCAATAAAAAAATATTATGATTAATTTGATAGCTAGGTAATACTTGCTTGTGTATAACCTTTGGGTGCTATGTTTGGGATAAAAACTTAAAAATGTGCTATTGTATTATGGAGAATTGTCCTAAGAAAATCAACAACTTATAAACTGAGACAGATGGAGTTTAATCTAATTATAAAGAACTCCAAACATGGAGAGCCTTTGGTCTTCAATCTTTGATGCCTTAACTTCAAAGAAATCATCCATGGGTTCACCTTTTAAAAATGGTGTAACCACAGCTAAATCTTCCATATCTTAAACTCTTTTGAGTAATGAGTCCACCTCACTACACCAGCGGCTGCAAAATAATTAAAGCAAACAAGCACAGTTATCTCATCAGACAAGCTCCAAAATTGACATATTAATATGCGTGTGAGCACATAGAAGAAATATAAGAGACGTGACGTGCTCAAAACTCCGAACTATAATGTGAGAAATTCTACACCACCAACCTGGAGGGGTGTTTTCTATCATTAAACTACATCCAATTTGGCCTCTTCTTTTGCAAAAACAAATATATTTTTGGTTTAAAGACAAATATATTTTTTATTATTAAACTAATCAGCGTCAACCTTCAGGTGTCAGGTGACATTTTCAAAGCTTATATCTCTCTTTCTCTTTATGTTTATATGTAGCTTTATATCAGAATATTTGCGATTGTTTGTCATCTTCACATTTGAAAATGGAGAATATACATAGGCTTGTTTTATTGGTCCTAATAGGGAGATTTTTCATTGCTAATATGGCTAATGGCCAAGGTCAACAAGGTATTCTTATGTCTTGATCACGGTTATACAATCTTCTGCACGTATATATTCGTTTTCTTTGAACGTAACCAAAGTTAATTTGCTTATATTGCAAGCTCTATCTATTATCTCTGGACTTGACATATTTTTAACAACATTTAGTTTTCTGTTTATTTGTTTTCCATGACTTATATACCAGGATTCATCAGCATAGATTGTGGAATGCCCCATAACGAGTCTAGTTATACTGAAGAGTCCACCGGTTTAAATTACTCATCTGACGCTGATTTCATTCGGAGCGGGAAAAGTGGTGAGGTCAAGACTGAGGATTTAGATTTTGGCCTGCCATACGTAAAGCCACATATACACCTTAGGTATTTTCCGGAAGGCATACGAAACTGCTATAATCTAACTGTTATGCAGGGCACACATTATCTTATCAGAGCTGTGTTCTTGTATGGGAATTACGATGGCCTAAAACAAAGACCAATATTTGATCTTTATCTTGGCCCTAACTTCTGGACAACTATAGACTTGCAAGATCAATTTGTTAATATCAACCGGATTCGGTTGTTAGATGCTACCGTAGAGGAGATAGTCCACATGCCAAAGTCAAACTCTTTGGATATTTGTCTGGTTAAGACAGGAACAACGACGCCATTCATTTCAGCCTTGGAACTACGTCCCCTCAGAGATGACACCTACACTACTAAAACCGGATCCCTGAAGCTATTCACTCGCTGGTCTTTCAGCAATTCTAAATCCGACGTAAGGTAAGTCAACTCAACTCAACATATCTTAGTATTCACTAGTGTAGATTTTTTGATTCAGACGGATAAATTGTTGAAATCGATAAGGATCAAAGAAATTGAAACACAAATTTAGATACACATATTCGTTATTAGTAAAATCTTAAAAAAGGCCGCTATGATTTATCAATAATACATTGATTGTGTCAGGTATCCTGATGATGTCCATGATCGTGTATGGAATACAGATTTTTTGGAAGATGATTGGACAGAAATAAAAGCCAGGACCCCTGTAGATACTACGAATGCCTTTGATTTGCCTCAAGCTATAATTTCAAAGGCTTCCACACCCAAAGGTGCAGGTAAGTCATGGAGCCGAGACTGGTCAATGCAAAGCACGGAAGAAGTTCACCTTTACCTTCATTTCGCCGAGATCCAAGCCCTAAAGTCCAATAACACCAGAGAGTTTAGTATTATATGGAATGATAAAACAACTAATTATAACTACAGTCCTCCGGAGTTCATGGCTGATACTGTACCTATCAGAACGTCAACTAAGTGCGATGATTCTTGCTTATTAGAGCTTGTAAGAACTAAGTCGTCAAGTCTTGCACCATCTCTTAATGCGTTAGAGGTTTTCATGGTACTCCAGCTTCCTCAGCTAGAAACAGATGAAAACGACGGTTTGTCAATTATGGTTAATGTATATGTTAACTTCTTTTTTCAAAATAAGGTTTTGAACTATCAAATAACTTGGAAATTCATATTCCCAGTCACTGCATTCAAGAAAATCCAAGCGAGTTATGGTATACAGAAAATGAGCTGGCAAGGAGATCCATGTGTACCTGTACAATATATGTGGACTGGTCTAAACTGCAGCAACACGTTTCCATCTATTCCACCAAGAATCATTTTCATGTAAGATCGTATGAAACACTCAAATTTTCTTGTTCAAATTTAGTTACTGTTTTGAATTAGACGGTAAATGGGTTCTGGTCTACACACACAGAGACTTTTCTTTTTATGGATTAAATGGGACCATATCAAGTGACATACAATATCTTAGCCAGCTACAGAAATTGTATGTCTCATACCCCCTCTATATTTTACTTTCAACGGGAAGGATATTCTGTAAGAGATATTGTTCATTTGTTTGATAGTAACTTCATTTCTTTTGCATTTTATAGGGACCTGTCAAACAACAATTTGACGGGAAGAGTGCCTGAATTTCTCGCCAAATTGAAGTTGTTGACGTTCATGTAAGTTTCACTTCAAGTGAAAAAAAAATGAATACATGCATATAATAACGTTTTATATACATTGTGCAGAAACCTGAGTGGAAACAATCTTAGCGGCTCAATTCCTCAAAACCTTCGTAACATGCAAAATAATGGGCTAACGTTGCTGTATGTTTCTCTTTCTCCCACACATTTTTTCCTATGATTATCCAACCCCTTTTTTTATAAATTTTTAGTAACTTTGGAACAAAAAACTGTGATAAATTAATAGACATCAAGGAAATCCAAACCTCTGTTCGGATCCATCATGCGAAAGTGGTGGAAATAACAAAAAGAAGTTGCTATTACCCATTCTTGCATCAGCTGCTTCGGTGGGTATTATTACAGCTGTGCTTCTTCTCGTTATTCTCTTCTACAGAAAGAAGAGGTCGTCGACAGGTATAAGCTCAATATTATCAAAACTCCATAAGACCATAACTTATAATTTAGTATATGCTTCGTAATCATAATTTTACAGACCTACGTCCATCAATTGTGGCAAACAAGAGAAGCTTTACGTATGAAGAGGTTAAGGTGATGACAAATAACTTTGAGAGAACTCTTGGTGAAGGAGGGTTTGGAGTCGTTTACCACGGTAACTTAAATTCTAACGAACAAGTGGCTGTTAAAGTCCTCTCTCAGTCCTCAGCTCAAGGTTATAAGCAATTTAAAGCTGAGGTACTTTCACCATAACTGATTTTAGTATCAAAGAAAATTTTCCAAATTTTACCATTTAAATGTGTGTATATATATGTGATTTACGAACTTTGGGTTACATTTGGTTTGTTAGATAGACCTTCTTCTGAGAGTCCACCACATAAATTTGGTAGGCCTTGTTGGTTATTGTGAGGAAGGACAAAACTTGGTCCTCATCTATGAGTACATGTCCAGTGGAAACTTAAAACAACATCTATCCTGTAATTAACCTTTATTGCCTCATTTTTGTCTGATGATTTACAACAAAAAAGATCGCATGTCATGTTTTAACACACACACATCTTCATGTGTACAGGTGAATGTTCTAGCTCCCCTTTGAGTTGGGAAAATAGATTAAGAGTTGCTGCCGAGGCAGCACAAGGTACGTTATATATAGTTCTCAATTTCTGTTGTGTTAATTTTATTAATATGATACAGCATGATTCCTCATTGTATAAGTATAACATTGCAAAATTTTGAGATATTCTCTTCTCTTGTTGAGATTTTAGAACAATCTTTCTTCTATGAGTTATAGGATTGGAGTATTTGCATATCGGCTGCAAACCACCAATGATCCATAGAGATATCAAATCTACGAACATACTTCTTAATAATAATCTTCAAGCTAAACTCGGCGATTTTGGGCTTTCAAGATCTTTTCCAGTGGGAAGTGAAACGCACGTGTCAACAAATGTTGCTGGAACTCCAGGCTATCTTGACCCTGAGTAAGTTGATCTATAACACAACTTAATAAACTCAAACTATACAAATGTACTTTTCCTTTTATCCATCATGGTTTTTATTTATTTATTTGTACTGTAGATATAACCGAACAAACTGGTTGACAGAGAAGAGCGATGTCTTCAGTTTTGGAGTCGTATTACTGGAAATTATCACAAGCCAGTCAGTAATTGACCAAACTCGTGAAAAGTCTCACATAGGAGAATGGGTGGGATTTAGGTTAACCAATGGCGATATCAAAAATATTATGGATCCAAGTCTCGTTGGTGATCATGATTCTAGTTCAATGTGGAAGGTTCTTGAGCTAGCAGTGTCATGCATTAGTCAAACTTCGTCTGGAAGACCAAACATGTCCCAAGTTGCTAATGAACTACAAGAGTGTCTCTTATCTGAAATTTCAAGGAAAGGAGCTGGGAGACATGAGATGGACTCCAAAAGTTCTGTTGAACCGAGCACAAGCTTTGGTCCTCAACAGACTACTCCTGATGCACGCTAGCTAGTTCATGCAAAGGATCACAAAACGTGTGTTTGAATAATAACAAAATTATTTCTATACTTTTTTTGTTCCATCTATCATCTTTGGTTTAACAATCAAATCCGCTGATAAGTTTTATTGGAACGAAACATTTGATAATTTTAATATGTTATAGTTTTAAAATATTGCTTTTGTATTTTTTAAAATTTGGTAATTTCAAAATAATAGCTATAATTTTGAGTAACTCGCGGATCGTTTTTATAGTATCAATAATTATCAAGCTAAGGTGTTCTCCTAATAAAACTTGCAAAATGAACAGTTCCTTTAATTTTTTTAATGGCTTAAACTCGGGAACTCGTTTGTCAGTTTGAAGTAAAGTTTTTTTAGTTTGAAAGTTTAAAATGAGATTGAAAATATATCATGTTAAAATGATAAGGATTTGTACTTTGAGAGTGAAAATGCTATTTTTCTTTTTTCTTTATAGGATATGGGCACCTGCTTACGATTCATTTGAATATCCGGAAAAAGAGTCTATTTGTGGGCTGCACCTTCCTAAATGATTAGTCTGAACTCGTCCATAGGCCTAAGATTTACTCATGAGTTATCAAAAAAAAAAAAAAAAAAAAAAAAAAAAAAAAAAAAAAAAAAAAACAATTAGCACCAAACAAAGAACACGTGAAAAAAGTTAAAGCACAAAAACGGCCCGCAGAGTACAGTCATCAAAAAGCTCCAAAATTGACACTATTAATATTATTTACACATGTAATAGTAATATGCGTGTGTGCACACAGAAGAAATATGGAATACGTGCTCGAAACTACGAACGATATGTGAGAAATGCTACACCACCAAGCTGGAGGAGTATCTTTTATCATTAAACTTCACCCAATTTGGCCTCTTCTTTTGCAAAAAAATTCTATTTTTTTAAATAATTTAATCAATCAGCGTCAACCTTCAGGTGACAGGTGACATTTTCAGAGCTGATAACCCTCTTTTTCTGTATGTTCTTATGTAGCTTTGTGGTTGCTTTTCATCTTCACATTTGAAAATTAATGGAGAATGTTCACAGGCTTGTTTTATTGGCCCTAATAGGGATATTTTTCACTACTAATCTCGCTAATGGCCAAGGTCAACAAGGTATTGTATGTCTTGATCACGGTTATACAATCTTCTGCACGTATATATTCGTTTACATTGTTTTCTTTGAACGTAACCAAAGTTAACTCACTTATATTAATTGCAAGCTTTGTGTGGCTATCTATTATCTTTGGACTTGACATATTTTTCACAAGATATAGTTTTCGCTCTTTTGTTTTCCATGACTTATACCAGGATTCATCAGCTTAGATTGTGGAATGCCCCATAACGAGTCCAGCTATACTGAAGAGTCCACCGGTTTAAATTACTTATCTGACGCTAATTTCATTCGGAGCGGGAAAAGTGGTGAAATCAAGAATGAGGTTGAGGATCCCCTTTTTGGCATGGCATACTTGAAGCCGTATAAGAATCTTAGGTACTTTCCGGAAGGAACACGAAACTGCTATAACCTGACTGTCGTGCAGGGCACACATTATCTTATTAGAGCTGTGTTCTTGTATGGAAATTATGATGACCTAAAACAAAAACCAAGATTTGATCTTTATCTTGGCCCTAACTTCTGGACAACTATAACTTTGCAAGATACATTTGATTTTGTCGGGTCGATTTTCAAGTCAGATTCTATACAAGAGATAATCCACATGCCAAAGTCAAACTCTTTGGATATTTGTCTGGTGAAGACAGGAACAACGACGCCATTCATTTCAGCCTTGGAACTACGTCCCCTCAGAGATGACACCTACACTACAAAAACCGGCTCCCTGAAGCTATTCTCCCGCTGGTCTTTCGGCAATTCTAAATCCGACGTAAGGTAAGTCAACTCAACCTATCTTATTAATCACTATTGTAGATCTTCGTTTCACACTGATAATCAAAGAGATAAAATGTTTGATTGGTATTTGGTATGTCAGCCGAATAGTATAAAAGCTAAATTAAATCATAGAACACCAAAATCAATGAATGAAAAAACTTGTAAGCATAATATATTATAATGAAAATTTCAAAAACAGCTGAATAACAAAAAAAAAAAAAAATTAAAAGTACTATCTAGTAGAGATGAATGGATTTTATCTTAATCTAGTCTAGTTATAAAAATATAATGTGGGGGATATATATATTGGAAAAAAATCACTTGTTAGTTTTCATGTTAATTGTATGTGTTTTGCTGTGAATTAATATATGTACTCGATGTGATAACGTTTTCTTTCGCTCCTTTATCTTCGTGCCCTAAAAATCGATTACACAAAATTAGTTAACAGTTTTTATTATTAATAGAATAATACATCGATTGGTCAGGTATCCTAATGATGTCCACGATCGTGTATGGCACACATTCTTAATGGATACATGGACAGAAATAAGCACCACCACCCCTGTAAATACTTCGAATGGCTTTAATTTGCCACAATCCGTAATTTCAAAGGCTTCCATACCCAATGGCAAGGGCGAACCTCCCAATACCATTGCAGGGGCGTCAGATGGTAATAAATTCATAAAAATGCTGCCCATGCTTTTATTTATTTTGGATATTCCATCAGTTTTTCAAATAAATAAGCATTCGTTTCTAATATTTTGAAGATGTTTTTTTATTTTGATCACTATACTATTATAAATTTCTTTTTATAAATTATCTATTTAATTACTTTAAATCGTGAAAAATAAAAAGGTAGACGGGAGCTAAAATACTATTGGGACAGAAAATGGGACATAAAAACCTCGGAAGAAGTTCACCTGTACCTTCATTTCGCCGAGATCCAAGCCCTAAAGCTCAAAGACACTAGACAATTCAGTATTTCGTGGAATGGAAAACATATTAATGATAATTACAGTCCTCCCAAGTTCATGGTTGATACTATACCTATCAGAACCTCAACAAACTGCGATGGTTATTGCCACTTAGAGCTTGAAAAACTTGAGTGGATAGAATCAGAAATTCCACCATCTATCAATGCCATGGAGGTTTTCATGGTACTCCAGCTTCCTCAGCCAGAAACAGATGAAAACGACGGTTTGTCAACTATGATCAATGTTTATGTACTTCCTTTATTTTTATACAAGGCTAAACAATTGAATTATTCGGAAACTTTATATTCCCAGCCACTACAATTAACAAAATCCAAGCGAGTTATGGTATACAGAAAATGGGCTGGCAAGGAGATCCATGTGTACCTGTACAGTATAAGTGGACTGGTCTAAACTGCAGCAACACGTTTCCGTCTATTCCACCAAGAATCATTTCCCTGTAAGTACAGATCATTTGAACACTCAAATTTTCTAGTTCAAATTTAGTTATTTTCTTTTAATGTATTCTAATTAGACGGTAAATGGGTTCTGGTCTACACACACAGAGACTTTTCTTTTTATGGATTAAATGGGACCATATCAAGTGACATACAATATCTTAGCCAGCTACAGAAATTGTATGTCTCATACCCCCTCTATATTTTACTTTCAACGGGAAGGATATTCTGTAAGAGATATTGTTCATTTGTTTGATAGTAACTTCATTTCTTTTGCATTTTATAGGGACCTGTCAAACAACAATTTGACGGGAAGAGTGCCTGAATTTCTCGCCAAATTGAAGTTGTTGACGTTCATGTAAGTTTCACTTCAAGTGAAAAAAAAATGAATACATGCATATAATAACGTTTTATATACATTGTGCAGAAACCTGAGTGGAAACAATCTTAGCGGCTCAATTCCTCAAAACCTTCGTAACATGCAAAATAATGGGCTAACGTTGCTGTATGTTTCTCTTTCTCCCACACATTTTTTCCTATGATTATCCAACCCCTTTTTTTATAAATTTTTAGTAACTTTGGAACAAAAAACTGTGATAAATTAATAGACATCAAGGAAATCCAAACCTCTGTTCGGATCCATCATGCGAAAGTGGTGGAAATAACAAAAAGAAGTTGCTATTACCCATTCTTGCATCAGCTGCTTCGGTGGGTATTATTACAGCTGTGCTTCTTCTCGTTATTCTCTTCTACAGAAAGAAGAGGTCGTCGACAGGTATAAGCTCAATATTATCAAAACTCCATAAGACCATAACTTATAATTTAGTATATGCTTCGTAATCATAATTTTACAGACCTACGTCCATCAATTGTGGCAAACAAGAGAAGCTTTACGTATGAAGAGGTTAAGGTGATGACAAATAACTTTGAGAGAACTCTTGGTGAAGGAGGGTTTGGAGTCGTTTACCACGGTAACTTAAATTCTAACGAACAAGTGGCTGTTAAAGTCCTCTCTCAGTCCTCAGCTCAAGGTTATAAGCAATTTAAAGCTGAGGTACTTTCACCATAACTAATTATATTCACAGGTTCATAGAAAATTTTCCAACTTTCACCATTTAAATGTAATATATGATTTACCATTTAAATATAGATATAGATATGATTACCAACTTTTGGGTTACATTTGGTTTGTTAGATAGACCTTCTTCTGAGAGTGCACCACATAAATTTGGTAAGCCTTGTTGGTTATTGTGAGGAAGGCCAACACTTGGTCCTCATCTATGAGTACATGTCCAGTGGAAACTTAAAACAACATATATCCGGTAACCTTAATTACCTCATATTTCGTCTGATGATTTACAAAAACAATGATCATATGTCATGTACTTTTAACACACATCTTGCTGAGTACAGGAGAATTTTCTAGCTCGCCGTTGAGTTGGGAAAATAGGGTAAGAATTGCTGCAGAGACAGCACAAGGTACGTTCTAACTTCTCAATTGCTACTGTGTTTAATATGATAAAGAATGAGCTCTCGCTCATAGCATAACATTTCAAAATTTTGAGATATTCTCTTCTCTTGGTGAGTTTTAAAATAATTATTTTATATATAGGACTGGAGTACTTACATATTGGCTGCAAACCACCAATGATTCATAGAGATATCAAATCTACGAACATACTTCTTGATAATAATTATCAAGCTAAACTTGGCGATTTTGGGCTTTCAAGATCTTTTCCAGTGGGAAGTGAAACGCATGTGACTACAAATGTTGCTGGATCTCCAGGCTATCTTGACCCTGAGTAAGTGTATATGTAACACATTTTAATAAACTCAAACTGTGATCTTCTTTATTAATTCCATCATGGTTTTTATTTATTTATCTGTATTGTAGATATAACCGAACAAACTGGTTGACAGAGAAGAGCGATGTCTTCAGTTTTGGAGTGGTATTACTGGAAATTATCACAAGCCAGCCGGTTATTGACCAAACTCGTGAAAAGTCTCACATAGGAGAATGGGTGGGATTTAGGTTAACCAATGGACATATCAAAAACATTATGGATCCAAGTCTCGTTGATGATTATGACTCTAGTTCAATGTGGAAGGTTCTTGAGCTAGCAATGTCTTGCATTAGTCCAACTTCGTCTGGAAGACCAAACATGTCCCAAGTTGCTAATGAACTACAAGAGTGTCTCTTATCTGAGAACTCAAGGAAAGGAGGGAGACATGACATGGACTCCAAAAGTTCTGTTGAACCGAGCACAAGCTTTGGTCCTGAACAGACTCCTGATGCACGGTAGCTAGTTCATGCAAAGAATCACAATGTGTGTTTGAATAATAACAAAATTATTTCAATTGTTTTTTTTTGTTCCATCTATCATCTTTGTTTAACGATCAAGCCCGCTGATAGATATGTCTTTCAAATGGATTACCAGACATAATTATCTAGCATTTATCATATTTCCTTTGTTATACAAATCTCTCGCAATATCAATGATCATCAAGGTGGTAATGTTCTCCTAGTTAAACTTTGGCAATAACCTTATTTCGGATAATATCCAAACGAAATTGTGAAACGAGTTTGTTTGGGATACTAAAAATTGGGTTAGGACTGCCAAAAAGGAGGGATTTCCAAAAATCTGCATAAGTGGAGTTATAAATAATTTCATCAGTTGGAGTTTCGTTCAATCTTATTATATCTTACTGTTTTTTCTGGCTTGTTCGTTTAATTGGGAGTGACAATTTAAAGTTTCTTCTAACCACAATAAATATTTTGTTTCTGAAAAGAAAAACTAACTAACTGGAGCCCAATCTTATATATTTGGGCCCATTATGAATTTAAGCCCATAAGCAAGTAAAGACCGCCTTCTCCTATAAACCCTAGAAATTTCCCTCTTCGCGGATCTCACTGCCAAAAACCCAATTCTGGCTTCTCGATTTAATTTTGTAACCCTAAGCTCGATCTGTTAGTTTTCCGGCCGATTCTCTGCTCAAGTGCGGCGCGAGGGTTACTGTTGAATCGGCAAACATGTCGATGTCGAAGAGTTCGAAGATGCTCCAGTTCATCAACTACAGGATGCGAGTGACGATCCAAGACGGAAGGCAGCTGGTTGGGAAGTTCATGGCGTTCGACCGCCACATGAATCTCGTTCTCGGCGACTGCGAGGAGTTTCGCAAGCTTCCACCGGCGAAAGGGAAGAAGATCAACGAGGAGCGAGAAGATCGCCGCACGCTTGGCTTGGTGCTTCTCAGAGGTGAAGAGGTCATCTCCATGACAGTCGAAGGACCTCCTCCTCCAGAAGAATCTCGTGCTAAATCTGGCGGAGGAGCTGCCGTCGCTGGTCCAGGAATCGGCCGTGCTGCTGGACGCGGTGTACCAACAGGTCCGCTAGTTCAAGCTCAGCCTGGGCTTTCAGGTCCGGTTCGTGGAGTCGGTGGACCAGCTCCGGGGATGATGCAGCCTCAGATCTCTCGTCCTCCGATTATCCGACCTCCGGGACACATGCTTCCGCCGCCTCCAGCTTTTGGTCAAGGTCCTCCGATGGCACGTGGTCCTCCTCCGCCCTACGGCATGAGGCCACCACCGCAGCAGTTTCAAGGACCACCGCTACAGTACGGGCAAAGGCCGATGGTTCCTCCTCCCGGTGGTATGATGAGAGGCCCTCCTCCACCACCACAGAGGCCTGGGATGCAGGCGCCTCCTCCACGCCCTGGAATGCCTCCTCCTCCTGGGGGTTTTGCTCCACCGCGTCCTGGCATGCCACCACCGCCACATAACCAGCAGCAGTGATTAGGTTAGCGGTGAATGCCTCTTTGTCTCCGGCTTTACTGTTTCTTTTTTCGCTGTTTTCTTGAGATTTTGAAGGCATTGAGTTTGTTTGGTTGGATTTCCTCAGGTTTACTTAGCCGCAATCTCTGATCTATCCTTTAGCTTTGCAACGTTTGTAGATTTCTTGACGATTGAGTGAGTGTCGTTGCCTTATCTTCGTTGTTTCTTTTAAGAATGGATTCCATTAGAAACTGTTTATCATTGCGTCTGGATATTTCTTTTCAATGTGAACATTTGACTCTAGTAGCGTTGTACATTGCTAACAACAACTTTTCTTGCGCCGATTTGAGAAACTTAAAACCTTCAAAGAAACTAATTAGACCAAATCTCCAATGAGCTCAGTCGCCATTAGTGATCACATCTTGATCTTCCTTGAAGAAAGCTTTGATCGGTTCTGAGTCTTCTCACTATTGATTACCTCTGTGGTCAATGTTTATGGATTGTTTAGGTAGAAGTTAAAACCATGTGGAAGTTGAGCTTTCTTTGGAGGAAGAACTTGTGGATGCATCAAAAGATAGAAGCCTACGGATATTCGCATTACCTTATGTCGGGCTGAATTTGGATATAAAACGTCATTATCTGTTTAAACGCTCTTGCCTAGAGAAACAGTTTTGTTCTCGATTGAACTCTAGAAGTCGTGTTTCTTCATCATCTTTCGCATGGCAGCCTTAGAGCGTTAGTCAAGTTGATGAGTTTTTAAATCGGATTCTTCAACTTATTCGAGGTCAAAAGCGTTTCTTGTGTGTGAGTTATATTATCTTGTCTTGCAAATATTACATGGCGAGTTAATTTGATCTTCACATTATCTTCAACAGGCTAAGATTGACAAAAACTTAGAGCTAAGATTGACAAAAGCAACAGAAAAAGAACAATTGTGTAACCATTGTGATTCCGTAAACCAATACATTAGGGTTAAAGCCAAGGCCTCTTGTGTCTTCAACTCTATGTTGCGTTGGTTTAGGCTTCTGTAAGCAGTCGTTCCAAAAAAAAAAAAAAAAGGCTTCTGTAAGCAATTAGACATATTACTTGGACGAAAATTCTATAGCTAAAAAAGCAGTCAGGTTAATCAAAACTTCAAGACTCAGAATACTTGCACCAACAAAACCTAGTCAGAGATTGACATGTGGAATCAAGCAGAAATCCATTGTTGTTGAGCTTAAATAAGTTTAGGAGTGATGCAGCTGGATCGAGTCAACAATTTTCACAGAAAAGAATTGGTCTCACTCTTAAAATTGTGCCGTTGAAGAACAAAAATACATTAGGAAAAGAATTGAAAAGCAAAAACACAAAATAACGGTGTGACCCATTAACACTCCTAATGATTCTTCACGTTTACCCCACCATTGCCAAATCTCAGCTTTAAATTTTTTAAAACATATAAGAAAAGCTGCTACGACATTAATCATATACTGTATATAATATTTCTTAATCGGATTGATGCTTATAACGAATTCGAGTAGGTTACTTACTTATCTGATCAAAGTCAAGATAAAACGAATATTTATTATGATTACACTGTTTTTTTTTCTAAAAATTCAGTGAAAATATGTGGAACTCAATTAAGTTTAATTCTAGCAGAAAAAGACGAAAAAGAAGATAAAAGTCCAAGCCGACAAGTTCCAACAGCTAAATTTTGTAAAACTCTGTTTTCTTCGATAACACTTTGCTCGTCCTTTTCTTTGCATTGGGTCCCTGTTTGGTGTGTACTTAAAACGTTCAAAAAATATTCACAGAATCCGATAAGAAGAAAGGTTTCAGATTCTCGTGAGTTTTCTTTTGGGTTTTTTCTTTCTTCTTGAAAATATCCATCTTGTGTATATAAAATAATAAGTATAAATATAAGCACACCCCCTCTTTCACTGTCTCCAACACGAAAACAAATAAAAGGCAAGTCCTTTTTCTTCTGCAGATTCCACTTACTCAACCATGTTTGCTTCATGAGTCATCCCTTTTTCTTTTGCAGCTTTCTCTCTTTCTCTTCTTATATAACCAATTGGTGGGTTTTGTGGGGTTTTCATTATTGAGTGAGAAATGAGGAGAGTTTTAATGGTGAATTTTGGAGTTTTTCTTCTGTTCTGTTTTGGTTTTTTGTCTAACTCATTTGGACAAGATAATGGTGATTCCGATATAAACTCTACTACGTCTGTCTACATTGTTACTTTGAGACAAGCACCTACTCTTCATCTTTTCCAACAACAAGAAGAAGAAAAAGTGAAAAGGATCAGAGATAAACACCACCAAGGATCCAAACATGGTGACACTTCCAAGTTTACAAGACCAAGACTCCAACCAAGGTAATTGAATTTTCAATTTTTCTTTGGAGTCTTAAAATTCAGGTCTTATTTAGTGAATCAATCACTGAATCAGAAAGATTTTGATTTTTTACGGTACATGCATTGTATCATTCTCTTAACTATCATGACTTTGAAACAGCACTAGAAAAATACATTTTACTTATAAAGACTCACTCTTTTGTTGTGTAAATCCTTTTTTTGGTACTGAGTTTGGCTCTCTGGTTATAGGAACATCTCAAAGTCACGTTATTGGAGGTCAAGGAGATCAGCAATTGCTCAAGCTCATGACTCTTTGCTGAGAAATGCATTGAAAGGAGAGAAGTATATAAAGCTTTATAGCTTCCATTACCTCATCAATGGCTTTGCTGTGTTTGTTAGCTCACAACAGGTATATATATAATCTTTGATCATACCATATATGTCTCTATGAGCTTATACTATATATTTGTTATCTTGAAGTAAAAGTCTCTTATTTGCTTTTTAAAAAGGCGGAGAAGCTTTCAAGAAGAAGGGAAGTAGCAAACGTAGTGTTGGATTTCTCTGTTAGGACGGCCACAACTTATACACCTCAGTTCATGGGACTACCAAAAGGTGCATGGACCAAAGAAGGTGGATATGAGACTGCTGGAGAAGGAATCGTTATCGGCTTCATCGACACTGGCATTGACCCAACTCACCCTAGTTTCAGTGGCACTGACGCTTCTCAGCGCCAGTATCCGGTCCCTAATCATTTCTCAGGTGTTTGTGAAGTCACACCGGATTTTCCATCGGGATCTTGCAACAGGAAGCTCGTTGGTGCACGCCATTTCGCTCAGTCGGCTATCAGTAGAGGCATTTTCAACTCATCTGAGGACTATGCTTCTCCTTTTGATGGTGATGGTCATGGCACGTAAGTGTAGATTGTTGGTGATGGTGAATCATTATAGTTAAACTGCAGCTAAAGATTGTTTGTCTTGATTATACACAGGCACACAGCTTCCATTGCAGCAGGTAACCATGGGGTCTCAGCAGTCGTTTCAGGGCATAACTTTGGAAGTGCTAGTGGAATTGCTCCTCGTGCACAGTAAGTAAATGGAGATTAAACCTAACAACAGTTGTAAATGGTTTTGCTAAGACCATTTTTATCATTCATATTGCAACGAGAGTACTAATTATGTGTGTTTGTTATGTATTAGTATCTCTGTTTACAAGGCATTGTATAAGAGTTTTGGAGGATTTGCTGCAGATGTTGTTGCTGCTATAGACCAGGTAAAAAGCATTTATCTTTTACTTGTCAATTGACTATTAGAGTGTATCTATCTCTCCATGACACTTTTTCATTGGTTTTGTGAATGTTCTTAGGCAGCTCAAGATGGAGTTGACATATTAAGTCTGTCCATCACACCGAATCGTCGTCCTCCTGGTGTTGCCACGTTCTTCAACCCTCTAGATATGGCTATGCTCTCCGCTGTGAAGGCCGGAATATTCGTTGTGCAAGCTGCAGGAAACACAGGTCCTTCTCCTAAGAGCATGTCTTCCTTCAGCCCATGGATCTTCTCAGTCGGTGCTGCTACTCACGATCGAGTTTACTCTAACTCGATAACACTAGGCAACAATGTAACCATTTCAGGCGTTGGACTTGCACGTAAGTCTTTATTTCATTTCAAATCATCACCTAGTTTGTATTACCTGTAGCGTTAAAGTTCTGTTTTTCTTTTTCTTCTTCTTGTTCTAGTTCCTACAGATGAAGGAAAGATGTATAAAATGATCTCTGCTGTTGATGCATTGAAGAACAAAAGCTCTGTAGTAGACAAAGACATGTATGTAGGTGAATGCCAAGACTATGCCAGCTTTGACAAGCATCTTGTCCGTGGGAATCTCCTGATATGTAGCTACTCTATCCGTTTCGTGCTTGGGCTTTCCACTATAAAACAAGCTTTAGCTGTTTCCAAGAATCTGTCTGCAAAGGGTGTTGTGTTCTACATGGACCCATACGTTCTTGGTTTTCAGATCAATCCTACACCAATGGATATGCCCGGCATCATAATTCCATCTCCAGAAGATTCAAAGGTGAAGAATATAACAAGAAACATATAATTTCTTCTTCTCTTGATGCTTCTAGAGTATCAATCTAATAACGATATGTTGTTAATATGTATAGGTTTTACTCAAGTACTACAACTCTTCTCTTGAAAGAGATGGAACCACCAAGGAGATTATTAGATTTGGAGCAGTTGCAGCCATTTCAGGTGGACAAAATGCAAACTTCAGTAACAGAGCTCCCAAGATTATGTACTACTCAGCAAGAGGACCTGATCCACAAGACAGCTTTCTTAACGACGCCGACATTTTGAAACCTAATCTTGTAGCTCCTGGAAATTCCATTTGGGGTGCTTGGAGTTCCGTTGCCACAGATTCCACTGAGTTTGAAGGTATAAATACACAAATATATCCAAAGGCATGACATTGCTAAAGTTAAAAACTTTCTCATTTTAAGATCTTGTGTTCTTTTGTCTCTGTTTAGGAGAGAAGTTTGCGATGCTGTCTGGTACAAGTATGGCTGCTCCTCATGTAGCTGGTGTGGCTGCATTGATCAAGCAGAAATTCAGAAAGTTTAGTCCTTCAGCCATTGCATCTGCACTTTCAACAACCTCTGTTCTGTTTGACAACAAAGGCGAAGAGATAATGGCTCAGCGTGCTTATGCTAATCCTGATCAAACCTTATCTCCTGCAACCCCATTTGATATGGGGAACGGCTTTGTGAATGCAACCGCAGCTTTGGATCCTGGCCTTATCTTTGATACCAGTGAGTTAAAAATGGCGTTTTAGTACATTCTCATATAACCAAAATGTAAACAATTTTAAACTGTTCTTTCTCTTTTTATTCAGGATTTGAAGACTACATGTCATTTCTTTGTGGGATCAATGGATCATCCCCGGCGGTTTTCAACTACACAGGTCAGAGTTGTTTGCTTAGAAATGCAACAATCAGCGGTTCTGACCTCAACTTGCCATCCATCACCATCTCGAGGCTTAATACCACAAGAACTGTCCAGAGAGTAGTGACAAACATTGCTGGAAATGAGACATATAGTGTCGGTTTGATTCCTCCTTATGATGTATTGATAAAGGTTTCTCCTACTCAGTTCTATATAGCCAGTGGAGAGACAAAGCTACTTAGTGTAGTCCTCCAAGCAAAGAAGAACAGCTCTATTGCCAGTTTTGGGAGAATCAAGCTCCTTGGAAACATGGGACACATTGTTCATATCCCTGTCTCTGTCATAGTGAAAATTGCCTCAAAACAATGAGGAACTTGAGAACCGTATTCTTACACAGAGCTTGGTAGATGAAGATTAAATTGTATTCATTTCATTATCCATGTAAAATGTCACATAGCATTTATAGTACATGGTACAATTTTTATTTGATACAATAAGAGGAAATGAAAGATTCAACAAACACAATAAGGTTTTAGTAGTAAAAGTACATTTCTTTGTCTTCACTCATCAAGCATTGCCTCCATCTCTGTTGTTTCCTTTGGTTGGAGAAGAAGGAACTTTCTCAGACTCCTCTTCCTCAGCTCCGGTGGCCGGTGTTGTCGTGGGAACAGAAGGGTTTGCAGGGTTTGGGAAAGGAGCATACTTGTGGAAAGGCCATCCTTGGAATGGGAATCTGTACCTGAAGAAACCGGCTATGGCAGAGTTTGTTGCAGGCTCATCACCATCAATCTTGGTCATGGAGGATGGTGAATCAACAGCATTGATTGAGTGGGGAACATGCATTGCAGGAGGATGAATGTGTCCTTTCTTGTGACTCTTCTCTCTTGCGGCTGATGATGCTTCTGCGAGTTTGGGGCTGCGAGAGCAGAGCACAAGTGGGGAAGTGAGGAATGTGAGGAAGATTAGGCAGAGACAAACTCTTGACATTGACATTGTGGCTTGACTTGTTTGTTTTTTTGTGTGTTTGATGATGTTTAGGAGTCAATGGTGTTGTAAATTTATAGAGTGGAGATTGTAGGTGGAGTCATGAACAAGGAGATTAAACGTTGGGTTTCTACTTCTTACCTAAACCTCAATTATCAGAATCATGCTTATTGTCATGAAGCTTTGATGAAGATAAAACAAGAGAAGGTGAGATATAAGTTGATTTTGGTATAAAGTTTAGATTTTGGTAAACAAAGTTTGTTAATTTTTCATCTGAATTATGATATTTACAACCTCGCAAAGAACAGAAATTTGGAAATGGTGTACTATCTCCAGCATTATAGAAGTTTTTTGAATAAGCATATTTTTGGTGTTTAAAAAAATGAAACTTTTTTTATTTCTCTTTATTTTACATCTGGAAGATGAAGTCCAATTATTTTTTAACTAAAAATAGAAGATCTTTTTTGCAAAAATCTCTTGATCAGAGAGATAGTGAAGCGATTCTAAATTTGCCGATCGATCTCCGAGCTCTCGCTAAATCGCCGGGAATTTTTACTGAAATTGAGCGAGTCATGTCTTCGGATCCTGAAAAAATGATGGCTAAAGCCGACAAAATGTATGCTTTCTTCTTCCCCTTCTCGCTCCATATATGTGAATTGTCCTTGTGCGAGGTTAATGATCGATGCAAGTAAATGGTTTTAGGGCATTTTTGGTTCATCAATATCATTGTGCTCTTAAGAACACTGATCGAGAAATTTTATCCATTTCTTACGACTCGATCAAAATTTTTTGTTGAGAAAAGCGAAGAATCTAGGATCTCGTGTATTGTTTGCATAGGAACACCTTAATCTGAGTTTGCTTTAAGTTTAAGAACACTTCTTTATTTGATAGAATCGAAGGAGAAGTTGTGATTTTCAAGTAAAAACATAAGGTCTTTGAGATTTGGAGCAGCCCTGATTATCTTGGCTTTAAAAGTTGATAATGAGAATGCAAAGTACTACTTTGACAAGGATTGAGAAATCATTTAGGATTGGTTTGATATGTAACATTTCTCAGTTCTGCTATTGAGCATCCTTCTTAAGCATCTTTGGTTATTCATTTTTCGCAGGACAAAACTCACGCTTACTAGATGGAGTGCTGATTGGAGAGGTGCTACTGAGTTGTATGAGCAAGCAGGTCGGTAACAGAGTCTAGTCTCCTCTATGGCAGAATCTACGTTTAAGATTTCTTTTGGACTCTCTAAAAGCTTGGAGTCTAGAAATGTTATAAGCATGGAAATGAAAACTGATTTTGTTTTCTTGTCTTTTGACTCCTTTTCATTGATAAACAACAGCAAATGGGTTTAGGGCATCAAGCAAATATGAGAAAGCTAAAGTGGCTCTTGAGAAAGCTTCAAAAGGACAAGAGATGCAAGCTTCGTATCCAAAATTACCCTTTAAGATTATTATAAGCTGCTGCTAGTTATTTTTTGCTGTATGCACATATCATCATGTTTAGTGTTATCCTTGATATGAAATAGTCCCTGGGATGCTGCGAAGCATATGGAGTCTGCTGCTGCACTAGCACAGAAGCTAAGTATCTGGAATGAAGTTGCTGATTTTTATAAAAAGGCGTCTGAGCTGTATGTTGAGTGTGGGAGGGCACAACCTGCATCAGATGCTCTTGGAAAGGCTGCCCGGTAAATTTTATGTAGACATCTTGAATTATCAAGAAATTGGGGATTTCATGATTGGCTTGGTGTCTGCGATTTGAATCTATGTGTTTCTGAGTGTGACTTCTTGAGCTTGCCCGGTTTTTGGTTTGTTTCATCTTCTACAATTTTGATTTTTCAGTGCCTTGGAAGATGTCAAACCTGAAGATGCCATCCAACTATACACTGATGCTTGTGAAATTCTTGAAGAGGACGGGAGGGACCAAATGGCATTTGATCTGTACCGTGCTTGTGCTAATGTTTACATAAAGCTCGAGAAGTAAGTTCTTGCTCACTTAGGTTAAAGTTTCATCATACATGGATATGTTGTTGACTCATAAATTGTCAAAGAATAAGCTTTTTAATGATTGAGATAACAGCGGTATCAAAAAATGTTATTCTCCATCTATCTGATACAAAATTTGGCTTACATTTTAAAATCTAGGTTCACAGATGCTGCAACCTTTTTCTTAAGATTAGGTGTAGCAGCTGACAAGTGCGATGCCACGAATAGCCAGTGTAAGGTATGAGTATATGGTGATCTAATTCCATTTCTTCTTCAACCTCGACGCTCTCTCAATAATCTGAGTTAACTGTTTTGCCCTTAACACCATTGATTTCAGGCATATCTTAGTGCAATCATTATATATCTGTATGCTCATGACCTGAAGCAAGCAGAAAAATGCTACAACGACTGTTCTCAGTGAGTATAATATTTCTTCTCTCTTGATACAGTTTACTCGGTTGGTCCATGGCTAGTAATACCTGGACCATATATGTTACCGCAAACAAGAAACATGAACAGTTTAGTCAAATATGGAAATGTGATATCAATTTCTGTGTCTTGAGATTATTTTCCTTGTTGTGTGTAGGATTGATGCTTTTCTGAAGAGTGATCAGAACCGAAGCGCTAGTAGACTGCTCACAGCGTATAATGAAGGTGACATTGAAGAAATCAAGAAGGTGGCAAGTTCAGGCACTGTGTCGAATTTGGATCACTCGGTAATTCATTTGAATGATCTATCTACCTATATCCTGTCTCTCTGTGTTTCTGAATGGATTTGTTCTGCATTTCTTGGTTATTGTTAAGCAAGTAGATCACAGTAAGTTCCATTAACAACCGGAATCTAATATGAAGATGTATTTGTTTGCAGATCATCAAGTTGGCTAGAAAGCTTCCTACTGGAGATGTTACTGCGGTTCAGATGAACACTAATGACGATCTCGACGAGGATGATCTCACTTAAAAGTTTCCCCTACTTGTACAGATTCAGATTTCTACAATTTGCTTATTTTCAAGCCAAAGTTGTTCTTTTCAAAAAAGAAAATTATCATTTTAGTCCAAACTCTCTGTGTGAATGATTGATTATAAAGGCTCTGAATTTGAATTCGTGCTTACTTCTCCACTGATACAGTTAGTTCTAAATATCAATTGGTGTTTCTTTTGTCTGAAATCGTCTAGAAATCATAAAAGCATTTTCCTTTTCTTCAATTATAGTTGGTACAAGGAAAATGAAATAGAGAAAAATGGCACATAGCAAATGCAGCACAACAATCAACAATCCTAAACCCCTTTATAAAAGAAAGGGAAAGACATAATTAAACAAATTAACATTTTCGTCTACTTTTGTATTACCTCTCTAGAGTTTTCACTGAACACATACCAAAGGAACAACAACACAATCAACTTCAGAGACAGTTCCAGCTTGCTCATCATCAAGGACTTTTCTCCATCTTATCCACCAAAGAAGAGAGCTCTTCCTGAAGCTCGGTGTTGCGTGTCTCACCACACAGAAGTCCATGCATCATTGCTAGTTCTTCCGGTGTCGCCTTCTTCAACAGTCCACGCAGAAGCCTTGTGTCCCGGTCCATAGAGGGATCTGAAGCACCTCCTTTCTCTGTATCACCCTTTTCTTCTTTTGTTAGTTCAACACCAAACACTTTGGCTGTTTTTGGGCTCCAATACTCCTCCAATAGATGCTTTGGGTCAAGGGCCTCAAGTACCTGTGCACAGTGTTAACTTTTAGTCCAGAAAGCTGGAGAGAAAACGAAAGAAAAAAATTCGAATTTGGTCATGCAAAGGAGTAAGGAAGATGCTCAAGGGGATGAAACAGAAGATTTGGAGCTTTTCATCCAGCAGATAGAAAGAAAAAAAGATGAATCTTTTCACCAGAAGAAAGGTTAAGAACATAGGTTTATGGCTAAATATGAGATATTAATTCTGTTACCTGAACAACGTGCGGGGAGAGAAATCCAAACATTTCAAGCCCATTAATACTATCCAGAGGCTGTAGAGAAGTCAAAGTGTCAACTGGTTGATCACATTTCTTGATGATTTCGAGTTTGAGCCTTTGTATCACCATTTGCCAGCACTTCTCAGCTGATACATTCGAGAAATTCTCGCTGGGACATTCTTCTAGTGAGACCTGAAAATATATACTGATGGGTCAGCAAGATTTAATGCTGCAGATTCTTGAAACACTACACAATTAGGGGACTTTACCCTGAACAGTGGACCAACAAGCCCTGCATCCAGAACCTCTGAAACGTAGTTGGTTAGTTTTGTTGGATCAAGTACGCTTAAGAACCTAACACGGCTCTTGAATCCTGTAAATTCAATCACAAGCAAAAAAGTCTTAGAAGGCATAAACAATGCTGAAGTACAAAGCTAATCCGAAATCCTCAATTCATCTCACCTTTTGGGTATATGGCTTGCTTGCTGCACCACAGCTTTTTCACCATTAGAGATCCAGACTTCAGAAGCTCAACAGAGTTTTTTAACCTAGTGGTTGCAATCTCTTGGTCCTTCCCTTCAACTTTCTGATCCCGCTCGCTGCACCCTACATTTGAAACTGAATGTGAATGTTGGTTTTGAGATTCAACAGAAATTTTCTTCTCATCAAACCTACTTTAACTCACCAGGTTTTACAACCGTGACAGCTGACTTATCAGTGATGCTTTCATGACCATGGTGATTTCCATCTTCATCACCATCTTGTTTCAACTGAAGATTGTTTTGTTCTCGCTGCTGTACTTCTGATGAACCACGGCTCTTTGAACAGGATGTGGCCTTGAGGTCACGGCTTTTGAGCGCCCATGCTTCGATGCCATCAGGATCCCCTTCTAGAGCTCTGACCAGTGACCGTAACTCATCCAAGGTGTGGCGAAGAATGACAAATCTCCCCTTGCCTTCACATGAACACAGATCCTTCGCATGGGTGAGACATGCAAATCGATTGGGGGTACACTTGCAGCTTGAAGCAGACATATGCAAATCATAGAAGCAGAAGAAGCACTCCCGTTCTTTCTTAATGTCAAAATCTCCCTCCATCTTTAGCAAGCTAAAACTGTCCCCAAGGTGCTTCAGTCTTTCTTCCTCCATCTCCACCCGCTTCTGCTAACCGTAGCTATGTTAGTACAATTGAAGTTGCTTGATTCAATATTATCAAATAGTCCTCGGTTACTTCAGAGAATACTTGTCAATCAATGAAAATGTAACATTGTCTATGCTTGTTTGAGTATATATTTGTGCATGCATGAATATTTAAGCACACGAAAAAGAATCAGAGAGTTAAAATCACCTTGACTGCCTTCGTAAGCAATCCATCCTCACCACAAACCCTTTTCCATCTCACAATCGCAGGAGTCTTCTTCCTTGAAACTGCCAGCTCCCAGAGGGAATTTATAGCTTCCAGAGCTGCTCCAAGAAGAAGCTTGTCATGTGACAATGAACTCTTTCGCCGCTGCTTGCTGTAGCCTTCCACTGCATTCTGTCCATGAGCCAGCCAATCAACAGGTGCAACATTTACTGCTTCGGCACAGTTGAAACCGCAGTTAAACCCAGAGTGATAGGCCTTTGGGAAGGTTAGAATGAATTCTCCACTGCGCTGGACAGCACGATAGACAGGTACTCCCTCCTCTTTTAAGATACTCGGAGATAACTGAGTGACCTGATACAAAACAAAATATGAGTTGCAGAATGAGAAACATATTATCCTAAACCAAAAGACAGCTCTCGCCAGATCATCTCCAGGATTACACAAGTAAGGAGTTCTAATTTAATCAGAAAAGCTTGAAATGAAAAACGAATTGGGAGAAACTGTTTACCAGTTGATGTAGCAAGTCAGGCTGTTCTTCAAACAAATCTGGAAGACGCTTTTTCATCACGCTTTCAAAGGACGCAGCATGGTTTCCAGGGATTCCATACCACACTTTTGGATCACCCGTGTGTAAGTAGTTCAAGGAATAAAGGTGATGATCTTCAACATGCTGTTTCAAAGAAAGTATAGAAGGAAGATTGTAAGTAAAGACGCATCAACTCCTAAAGTTTGGTCCCAAATGTGTTACTTTGGTTCAGCAATAACATGTCTTTATAGAACTCTTTGATTAGCTTCTTGTTTTATAAGTAAACAAAACTAAAATCCAGGAAATATCACAAGATTATTAATGCAATTCTGTAAATTAACAAGACCCTACTCTAAAGAAAATTGTAACTTACCCAACAAAAAGTTGAAAAGCACATTCCAACATAGAGCCATGGCACAATAACTCCTGAGATATCGCAGCTCTCAAAAGATAGCACAGATCCGGGCAGACGGGATAAATTGTTTAGGTTCCAACCACTTTTAGAGTATTCATCTTCTTCTAGACTTTTAGTAGACCCTGGTGAGTATTTTGGGAACCCACTTCCAAATTTCTTTGTTTCCAAGTCAGCTCCATAATACACCTGACATACGCTCAAACACAACAGTAGCAAGTTAGAAGAATTCATGCAAAAAACAAATGGTTAAACCAAGAAAGACAAAAATAGTACACTACCTCTACTTCATCAGTTGGTTGCTCCACTATACGCCAATATTCACCTTCGATGTCCTTAACCTTAGGTTTAAACTTCTTACTTTCAGAGGCTTTGGAGCCAGTTTGATCCTCTAACCGAAAATAAGATTCCTTAAAGTTTTCATCATGCTTCTGAAACTCTTCCAGGGTAAAATCTGGACCAGTCTGAAAACCAAATTTATCTTCCCCATCAGAGGAATCATCATCACAGCCTGAATCTCTTTTTCTTCTTCTTGAGTATCCAAATTTGGAGCTTCTTCTCCGTTTCCTCTTCTTGCTTTTGGTAGATTTTTTAATTGGTTCTCTGTTCATAAGCAAGTCAATCAGCTGAATCCGGGTGGTAAATTTAGCTTTCTCCCATATTGCTTTCTCCTTCAGAGGGCAGGGAGGCTTCCAATCAACAGGCGGCACGATCCGACATATGCCGAATGATTCAGCTTTACCGCGCAACTTTTCTATGTAAGCAAGTGGATCTTCAAACTCCTGACCATGAAAGCATCAACAGGAGAAAAAAATCAAACATAGATAACACTTAAACTACCAAGTCAGAACCAAAACTGCAGCTAGACTTTATTAAATACCTCAAAAGTGGGATAGAATATGGGAGCATCATCAACCGAGGGCCTGCAAGCTTCTGTTGGACTCCACTTTGCAGATATCTCAAAAACAAAACAAAACACTTTCATTTAGGAACCAGACGAACAAAAAGAAACTAATTAGCTCATTATTTATCCAGAAGAGATTGCTAAATTCTCAAGAACCAAGCAATTGGATTGCTAAACATCAAGCAAATTACATAAGTGACTGCATCAGCTTGGCCTAACCAATACTTGTTAGAAGCACAGTTAACAGAAGACAAATATTTGCTTACTTTGGGACTAGGAGGACTAGAGTCAGGTTCGACGCTACTGTCACTTTTAATCGATTGTTTCTCAGAATCATCCTGTAAAAATACACAATTCCAACATTCAGAAACTGCAACAGTGCTACATAAAGAGGGGATTCAAATCTAGCGGACATGCAAATTAGAGGTTACAAGTCGAGTGATTTAAGAAAGCAAAACACAATCCAAGAAGCGAAGGATAAGAAGAGAACCTCCATAGGCACAGGCTCTGCTGCAGATGCAAGTCCGTCCATTTCCGTTACAATTAGCGATAACAAAGGCCGATTCTTTTTCACCGGCGACCTACGAAAGAAAAAGATCTGTTAAAAAGAAAACCCTCACTTGAAAATGCAGGTGCCGTTTCGAAACCCTAAAAAACCCAGAGGGCATAAAGTTTTGTCTAAAGAGAAAAAAAAGCAAACCAGAATCTGAGAGTAACCCAGCACAAGTATCGCTCAAAGGATCGAACTTTAACACAACCCAACTCAAATTATCGCATTTGGCAGAGAAATTTCTTCAAGCAATAAACCGCTAATCTGGTTGAGAGACCTACTCTATGCCCAAACGGGTAATAAAGATTCTTTGAGAGCCACAAGGAAAACTCTGTGTCGTAAATAGAGGAAGACGAGTGTACCTTCCTTCGGGAAGGGGCCAAGATTCGGAGATAGTTTTCTCAAGAGTGACAGATTGAGTTGAGAGAAATTTTTGTAACGTATATATCTACAACGTTTGGTTAAATATCTGTGAAAGAGGGTTTCCTTTTTATTTTGTTTTAGGAAACTAAAATAAACCAGAGAGTTTTTATTAGGGCAACGATTACCAAAGGAGCAATCTTGGAGTCCGATCTACGAAATTTATAAAGGTTAAAGAGAGACGAGAAGCCGCCAAAAGAAATAAAAATATAATACAGATTAACATTTTTTATGTAAGAACATTTCTGAAAAAAAAATCAGAAAATAAACAATACACATTTATCTTTAATTCAGTCATTTATCGTAGTTAGAAAAATTAGTGAAATGTTTTTACTCGTTATAAGGCTTTTCATCTCTCAGTCTAGTAAACAGCAATCACTTCTTTTTAGTTTGACTAACAAACAAAAACCATGTCAATTTGCTAGTAATATCTATGGTTAATTTCACATTTATTAGAGACACATCAGAAACGAGTATCTTTCAATACAAAAATAAAATAGGTGTATGGGAACTAACTTGATAGAACCAATACTGATATCATTAGCACCTCATTTTTATTGTAAACAAATCGTTATTAGACTTTTATTTGGATATATGGAAGACGTTTTCATTGGCTCTATTGTATTGTGTAAATCATTGTTTTATGTAACTTTTTTTTGTCACTAAATAAAAAGAAAATAGAGAAATGAAAACTTGTATATATACATCTGTTATCTTATATATAATTAGGGAGTTGCTCTCTCCATTTGAGAGTGTCCACATCAGCACAAAAACATTAAATTGTATTTAAAATATTTAATAAATATATGACTATTCATATTTCTTTACATTTATTCATATTTAATAAAAATATACAAATAAATTGATTAATTAATAGAAAGTATGTGATAATTTGATGTTAAAGTTATCAAAAAGTTGGAATATAAAATAGAGATGGAGTAAAGAAATATTCAACTTCAAATAGTATATATTTACTTTATTATTCAAAGGGTTTATCCTATTTAAAAATGTTAGAATGTGTTTACAAGTTAAAAAGTTGAATATAAATTAATTAAGACAATAGAAAGCTAATGAAACATTAGAGTTAGAGTTTGTTTTTCTAAACAAATAGAAATAGAGTTTTATATGTAAATTTAATTGTAGTGAAAAACAAGAATATGTTTACAAATTTTAACCTTCAGTCAAATGCATATACATATTTATAAATTTTAACCTTCAATCAAATACATATACATGTTTACCGTCTAATAGAAGTAAACATAATACTTATAACATGATAAAATTTTAGAAATAGAAAACTCAAGATAAAGCAGAGTGTTAATATCCTAATAAATTAAAATAAAAACAAATTATTCATATTTTTTAGTGTTAGTGGTTTAGTTAACTCAAAACATAACAAAAACATGAAAGTTAACACAAAACCATCATATTTCAAATCACGAGTATAAATAAAATTAAACAGAAAAACTATCGTAAACAACCCCGCGCTTGCGCGGGGCTTCAAACCTAGTGAAAGTAATGATAAACTGTTTTTGTATAATGAAAAAGTCATAAATGTGAAAGTGACAAAACAGAGCAATGCACTAAACAATATGATAGTTGCTTGAGAGACAACATCACAACACACAAAAATAAGCCACAACATATTAATATATATACACAAACAAACGTGTATACATATTGCTGGATTTTGTCGACGATGTTTTAGGGGACGGCAGCGAGATACGACGGAGATGCGGCAATAATTATTTAGAATTGAGTAAGATGCGGGAAATGGAGACGGCGGAGATGAGTAGCATAAGAATGACTCCGGCGAAAGCGGCTATGAGTGCTCCGGCGCCGTGATCGCAGTAAATGGCGAACCTGTCGCAGATTTTGTTCCACTTGGCATGCTTGTTCCCGTTCTTCCCCAACTCGGCCATGAACGCTGCCGCATTTGCAGCCGCAGATATCAGAGTTGCGTTTAGCTGTTTTATTTTTTTCAAAACGTTTTTTAGCAATCAAGAAACCAATTCAACACACAATGTATACTATAGAAGACTGACACATACATTATACATGTAAATAATGAATATAAACATCATACATGGTATATATAGTAATATGTTTATACCATGTCCAAAATGGCGACGGATAGGAGACGGAAGCCTTTGTTTTCCAGTTTCCGGCCGAATATCTGAAGAGCAATCATCAACAAGTTGTGGAAGCTCACCATTACATTAGCTATAACAAAGAACCTGTAATACATTTTTTGTTTCATCAAGAATCAGTGTTAATGGCTCAAAAACAAGTCCTATAATATTGTAGTGTATAAGGTTTTATTCGCTTACACGAAAGCCGGTGTGTGCTGAAACTTAGCGGTTAAAGTGGCTTTGATAGGAATAGTACCAATGGTGGCCACAACAAAGGTCTTTGTCTCTCTGTTGAGTGACATTACAATGGCTGCAACTAAAGTTGCCATGAATGCAAATATTCTCAGCCCAAAGAGTAGTTTCCAGCTCTTTATGGCCCCACCCGCCAGAAGAATCTTCTCTCCAGGCATTGTTGATGCAGTGATCAGTGATCAAGAGGAAAAAGTGATGAATATCTGTGTCAATGTAAAAAGAGCATTTATACATGTTTGGTCTTGTTCTGAGGCTTTGTCTGATCAGCTAACTTTAATGTTCTTTATTGAATTAGGTTTTGGTTGTTGTGAAAAGATTACTGCAAAACAGAGGAAATAGATTTCCAGATTACAGGACTTGCTTTAAGAGCAGTCTTGTCTGATCTACCAAAGCTAAGATCAGTTTCTTGCCTGTTCTAGTTCCATGAAGCAAGACTTTCATAGAAGAAAATCTTAATGTTTTTGGTTGGTGTATCAGATTTATATAATAATACATACATGAACAATGCCACAAGGGGCAATGGTGTTTTACAAGTCTACAAACAGAAGAGAGGATCAAGTTCCACGGAGTAAATTTCAAGCCAGATTATTGGAGCAAAACCCTTTTTTCTTTTAGTTCTTCAGCTTTGAAACAAAAAATATCCAACAAGAGATTCTGAATAAGCCTTTTTTTCATGGGTTAAAAAAGGAGTCCGGAAAGATATACAAACAGACTGATTTTCTGCGTATGTAGTAATATGCACAAACCAGACGAAGAACTTTGAATTGATCATTCAGATCACTCGCTCTCCGTTATTTTTTATCGGTTGTCACTCCAACCACAACGTTACTCACCTGCAATTTGTGTGTTTTCAGTCAGTTTATCAATTCTTCTTCTAATGTGTATATAAGAAGAACAAAGAAAAATGAGATACTAATAAAGACTCACCAACTTTCCACTTTCATCAACGGACATTGGGTTTTCTACAACAACGGTTTGGGTTTGAGACGGTGGTGTTGGCTGCTGTAAAACGAAAAACCAACGAACAGAGTAAGTACCAGCTCCAATAAAGAAGTATTACAAGAACATAAATTTGATGACTCACAGTGGATGTTGAGGGCATTGTTCCATTTGGCCTGTTAGTTGGGAGAGGCACTCTTCCATTTCCCATCTGTGGAATGGCAAATCAATAATCAAATTCCATAAGAAAGATCTTTTATTATACATAACTCAGCCAAATAAGGAGTATAGTATGCTCACATTAACGTTACTAACGAATTGACAAACAGCGCATTTAACAGACGATGCACCATAAGGATACATGAGCGTCGTCCGACAATTCCCACAGTTGATATGCGCGACCTGGTTCGTTTGTGCTGTCCATTTCATAAAACGTCAATCCAACAAGCAAGAGACCAAATGGGCAATAACTTAAGAATCTAATAAAGCATCTCAACAGATAAAAGAGAATCATACATCCAAATGGGCAATTACTTAGAGGCTATCTAAAGGCATAAGAATCTAATGAAAGCATCTCAACAGGGCAACGATGATGAACAACACACAAATTCGAAGGACGATTCTAGATACCTGGCACAAGATTCACAGTCTGACAGCAAGAGCATCTCACGCTACTTGCAGAACGTGTGTACATAAGCATTGTTCGACAACCACCACATATAATGTGAGCCATTTCTGTGATTAAGATTACAAGGAAAAGTTTATAATATTCTTTTAACCTCTCTTCTCAATTCTTATTCACAAGACTTAAACGGAGCTAAAGAAGTAGAGATACCAGGAACGACGTTGATGGTGTTACATAAGGCACAACACACGTTTGGTGCTCCTCTAGGATAAAGCAATATATTCCTACAGCCATGGCACACGAGCTGGTCCTGCATATCTGCCAATTTGTTTGTTTTCAATTCCAAGAATCAATCACAACTTGTTGCAACATTTCTCAATACTCAATTCAATACTTATGCATGCGTCATTGCATCGAAGCAAATGGGGAGATCCAGAAACCTTTTTGTTAAGAAAAAAAGACTCACCTGATTATCTCCGGGAAACACAAATGGATAATGAAGAAACGAAAAAGGAGCTGACTTTGAACCGAACCCCAAATCCAATTCAAAGCCAAAACTTCTGCATCCATATCAAAACATGGAATTTCGATTGAATTAGACGAATAAACTGAACAGTGTTGTTGACTGATATTACAAATTCAGGAAAATTGAAAAAGAAGAGGAAAAAAATTGGTTCTTGATCATACCGATTGGAGATGGATGGGAATCGAATCGAAAAGCCACCCGCGAAGTCTAAGAGCCAATCCAAATTGGGAAATGGACAATGGATTTCGATTTTGGCTTCCTCTTTCTTTTTCTCTTTCTTCCCCCAAAATCTTTCTTACCGGATTTATCTCTCTGAGTTTTTCGTAATTTACGCTTTTTTATTAGATTTTTTATTTAAAATAATTTTTTACTTGACGCGTTAGGAGGACATAGACATACAAAGCTTTTTTTCGTTAAGACATGGAAAGCTTTGTCCGATTCAAGACAACATGATGTCTTAAAACGCGCTTATTACTGTACTAATCTAGCCATTTGGTTCAAACGTAGCGATTGGCTGTTGAGCTATCTAAAAATTAAGCTTACGTCAATCATCCATCTATTGGTAAAATTTATTTATTTATTTACTTTTTTTTCTATTGGTAAAAATTAATTGTTAATGACTTTTATATTCCATTCAAAATCTCTTTTTATTCAATGAGAACTTAATTATCATTGATTTTATGCTCCTACTAAAACCTAGTGTTATCAAGAAATGAAATCCTTAGACTTTATTTCTTAAACATGATAATCTGATTGGTATCCCTTGAACTTTATTTAAGAAACCTCCTTGCTATTAAAATTTAATAAAATTGTATGCAAAATCTTACTGACACTAACCCATCGGCCTAAGTATTTGAATAGTTCAATATTTACATGTTATGAAAAATCAATATAACTAACTCAATTAAAAGAATTTTCAAATCGCCACATTTTGCTACTGTTGCTGTCAATAAAGAGGAAGAAAGATTTGCTATTGACAAAATTTTTGATCATGTTAATTTATTGTGAATATTTAGAATGATATGAATATCCAACTCTTCCACATTTTGGTAGAAGATCTCTCGATTAGCATAAACGTTAATATAAGAACTGTTAATATTTCTTGAAGATGTTTGTTTCTTTTATTTTTAAACTTGCAATGGTAAAAATCTTAAGATATGTATATATAATCCTAACACAGTATCTAACAATAGTCAATTCAAAATATTTCTGTTATATGTGAAAAAAATCGGTTGCCGTTTATAGTGATTAGCATAATGAAAACACAGTGAAAATATTTGAACCCTAATTTCTTAATCTCAGGTGAATTCTTTAACCACTGACCAAACTATTATGAGTAGTAGATTTAGTTATACTGCGCGTATTTGTTTATTTGGCAAAGTGCCAAAGTATATAATACGTTAAACTTTAGTGGAGTATAATGATGTGGTGTTAGTATGTATAATTAGAAATATTATGTATGTAAATAGTAAGTGTATGGCCGAAAGAGGTATATGATTGAAGGAAATAGATCAAATATGAGTGGATGATGTATAATTTGGAATATGTGTGATTTGCGCTTAAGACTAGTGGGTTTGGAATTGAATACCACAAATAGGACAAGGGGAAAAAAAGGGTATGAATAGGAAGATAATAAGTGATAAACGTACGTCAAACCAGTTTTAGATTCTCGAAAAAGACAAGACACAAAAAGACTCTGGTATTGATTTCATTCAAGTGACTCGAGTTAATTATTGCAATTCCCAAGGCATTATATATACGAAATAGAAGCAGAAGGTTGATACGAGAAAAGAAAAAATGGCAAACATCTGCTGAGACTTATGACTTTTAGTCGGAGAGAACCTCTAGTGGTGGGAGGAGTTGTTGGAGATGTTGTTGATCCATTCACAAGATTGGTCTCTCTTAGGGTTACTTATGGCCACAGAGAGGTTACTAATGGCTTGGATCTAAGGCCTTCTCATGTTCTCAACAAACCAACGGTCGAGATTGGAGGAGATGACTTCAGAAATTTTTACACCTTGGTTCTTCTACTTTCTTCTTTTTTCCTCTTTCATTGATTGATTCTAAACTAAAACCTTACATATATCTTGTGCATATCCACGTTTGATGGATTCCTAAGTTACGGTCATGACCTTTTTCTGATGTCAAGTTATCTTTTTGTTTGATTCCGGTTTCGAAGAAACCTTAGATACCCAAAGTAAACAAAATATTGTGAATTTTCTTCCGGTTATTTTGAGTTTGTTTTCGCTTATATATTTCTAGAATACTTATATATAATATGTTTTTTTAAGAAACTGATGGTCATGGTTGGGTAAGTAAAAAACATCCTACTTGAATATTTTAACGACTCTTTGGATATGTATAGAATTATCCAGGAAAGTCAAGCCAGTATTTAGATACTCTTATATGTAGGCATGCAACTATGACCTCTTTTCTAATTTAAGCTACATATATGTACTTTTTCTTTCTTTTCTAGATAAACATATAAGCTTTTAATTAGTCTTTAACTCGTGCTTTCATGATTGCTTTGATATTTCATAATCATCCGGTTTGTGTTACTGCGATTAATGAAGGTTATGGTGGATCCAGATGTGCCGAGTCCAAGCAACCCTCACCTTCGAGAATATCTCCATTGGTTTGTGTCACCTCTCTATTCATTTTTTAAAAAACTTTATATAAAGCTACACGCTTCTTGAGGAATTTAAAATATCTACCACTCATGTAAAATTCTATAATTTGGAAGAGATATATAAAGCTACGCTTGTGGAATTTCATATATTTACTACTCCTGTAAATTTCTATAATTTGGAAGAGAAATATAAAGCTAGAACTACAAGATTCTTGTTGTAATTCTCTTTATATATTCTAGATTCCTGTAAATAAATATGTTACTGTATATAGGAGACTTCTAAATATAGAGACACAGCCTTACATTTCTCAAGTGAAACACAAAAGACGATATTTTACTTTTACCATAAGGGGAAATATATAATCAGCTTTTCACTTTACCTGTCTTAAGTATTCAATTATATACAGTATGTCCTTTTGAGTGAGTCACACAGTTCTATATATACAAGTACAAAACATGACTTGTGGTCAGAGCAAGCTTCTGCTTTTAGAGTGTCGTCAAGTTATATCAAAGCTAGGCACGCAACAAGTCAACAGCATGTGTTTTTCCTATAGTCTTCTTACCTTTCTATATGCTTTATACGATTTTTACTTATTTTAAAAGCATTCTTTGTTCAAGTAGCTTTTAGCTGATTATATCTGGTTGCATCATATCTTAAATTTAAATGGACACTCTCTTTCAGGTTGGTGACTGATATACCTGCCACAACTGGAGCGGCCTTTGGTGAGTTTAATCAACTCTATATATAGATTCATTAGGTACATATATAGATAGATAAAATTCATACATGCTTAACCAACAAATGTAGGCTTTGAATAGTATTAGCCATGGAACAGTAAGTTTTCAACGATGCAAGCAAATTTTTAGAAAACAAACATTATAAGTTTGTCTAGCTAGTCCGCTAATGTGTGTACGTTAAAGATTTGTTCTAATATAATGCAATCAATTCGACGATTGTTTTCTTTCAGGCAATGAGATAGTGTGCTACGAGAGTCCACGTCCCCCGTCAGGAATACACCGTGTGGTGCTAGTATTGTTCCGGCAGCTCGGAAGACAAACGGTTTACGCACCAGGGTGGCGCCAACAGTTCAACACTCGTGAGTTCGCTGAGATCTACAATCTTGGTCTCCCTGTGGCTGCCTCTTTCTTCAATTGTCAGAGGGAGAATGGCTGTGGAGGAAGAAGAACGTAGATGCCCACTTCTTTAATTAATTACCTAATATATTCCTATAATATACCCTAATGAGATTTTTAAGCAACTACGTCAATGTAATAAGAATTTAAAGATACTGTCAAAAGCAAGATGCATGCTAACATCTATTTAAAGTAGTTTATACTTTAAATGTAATAATTGACAGGATGAAAAAACAAATATATATATATAAGGTATTTATCACTTTATACTATATAATATAATGAAATTATAATTGAAAGGAGGAAACAACAAAACTGAGGCTTCAAATAGCAACAGCCGAATAAAGAAAATAAGTATAGTTAGTTGGTGCAAGACAAACGGTTAATGCATATCATAAAAAATTAATTATTAAAATAGTAATTAATCTGGTTTTTTTTTTTTAAAGTGAATGCACTTGAAATAAAGTTGTGGTCTAAACGGTTTACAAAACATGACAAAAGTATTGAATCACATCACATTTTTATTGCACAACCAGTATTAGATTCTCGAAGAATACAAGACACGAAAAAGCCTATGATAATGATTCAATTCCAGTGACTCGTAATAATAATTGCAATTCAGACCCCAAAAACATTATAATATATACTGAAATAGAAATAAAGGGTTAATAACTTTATACGATAAAAAAACACACATTTGCTGAGACATGAGATCGAATGTATACATGTCTATAAGTCGGAGAGATCCTCTTGTGGTGGGAGATGTTGTTTATCCTTTCACGAGATTGGTCTCTCTTGTGGCCAGAGAAATGTTACTATTTAGTATTTACTAATGACTTAGACCTAAGGACTTCTCAAGTTCTGAAACAAAACCAATGGTCGAGATTGGAGGAGAAGACCTCAGAAATATCTACACCTTGGTTACATTTCTTTGTCTTCATTGATCCTTAACTACAAATTTTACATATCCATGCACGTTCAGTGAACTCCTCAGTTACGGCCGTGACCTTTTTTTGTGTCAAATTTTGTTTCCGGTTTTGAAGAAATTAACCTTCCTTAGGTACCCAAAATAAATAAATAAACCAATGTTTGTTTTTCCCTCCAAATATATCCATGAAACCACTATTAAGCCAAATCCCAACTGAACTGGAAATCGTTTGATCCAACGATTTTTTCTTCTTTCGTTCTTACCCTATCATCTACGTGTACCCTACTAGCTACCTGATGTTTTTTTCTCCAATTTATTGCATGGATATCCTTTTGGATTTTAGCTATACAAAAATATTGTAAATGTTCTTGTAATTCCTCCAGTTTATTTGATTTTGTATTGGATTTATCTTTCCTAAATTACTTTTAGAATTTCGAAATCTCTTTAATCTATTACTCCGTTGACTACAATTTTTTTTTTTTAACTCCTCTACACACCATGAGACATAAGATTTGATTCTACAATTTCTTCAGATTAATGGAGTCATATTTATATAATTGTATGTTGAAGAATTATCTTTATACTTGTTCTTACCATTTCTAATTGAAACGAATAAATTCAGAAAGCAAAAAGAAAGAAAAAAAAAACACTTTTAGAAAGACATAAAATATCTTGGCTGAAATATGCTTAAATATCAAGAAGTCAGATGGTGGGTGGGGTATGTAAATATCGTTTTTTTTTAATAAAGGGTATGCAAATATCTTAACTGAATATTTAACGAGTGTTCGAAAGGGATTGGACATTTCGAATACCTTATGGCCATGTAACTACTACTTTTTCTAATTTAAGCAGCTTCTTCTTTTTTGTGTGCTAAATTTAGGCTTTTAGATTGTGTTATCATTTTGAACAAAAAAAAAAAAAAGATTGTGTTATCATTTACATTTGTTAGACTAAATAAAAAAAACTCGTATTTTCGTGATATTTCATAATCTGTTATACGGTTGGTTAGTGTATCATTTCTCTAATCATTTTATTTAATTATAATGAAGAGATATACAGCCTCACACTTCTCATTCGAATTTAAATTATATATCCACTACTCATACAGTCATACTAATCAAATAAATATGTATATAGCCAGGAGACTTCGAAATGTAGAGATCCACTCATTTCTAAAGTGACACACACAAGACAGTATTTTTACTTACAATAGAAGGGGACATGTAGAATCAAACTAAAAGAGAACCACTTGTCAAGTTGTCACTTCAGATATATATAAAACTCAATTAAATGTATAAAGAAAAAAATGAATCACGCAGAGATTCTATGCAACTACAGAACAATATGGCTTGTAGTCTGATTTAGCTTCTGTTGATTTAAAGTGACACAACAGTCAACAGCTGGAACGGCCTTTGGTGAGTTCAAGTAACTCTATAACTAGATTCACTAGGTACCTATACATATATAGATAAAACAAAAATAATACATGCATTTAATCAACATGAGCAGATGCAATGCTACTTTTGGAAGTGGATCGTGTTCTGAAGCCCGGTGGTTACTTTGTTTTGACTTCTCCTACGAACAAAGCACAGGGAAACTCACCGGATACTAAGAAAACGAGCATCTCATCACGTGTTGATGAGTTATCGAAGAAAATCTGCTGGAGTTTAACAGCTCAGCAGGATGAGACGTTTCTTTGGCAGAAAACTGCAGATTCTAAGTGCTATTCATCTCGGTAAGTAATGATCTTGAGGCATGTGCTTGGTATTAAAAGTTTTTTAAGTTTGGTTCTTCTTTATTGATGTTTTTGTTTCTGGTTGGTGTAGCTCGGAAGCTTCTATACCTCTTTGCAAAGATGGAGATAGTGTTCCGTATTACCACCCTCTGGTTCCATGTATAAGCGGAACCACGAGTAAACGCTGGATTCCAATCCAGAATAGGTCTGCTGTTGCAGGAGCAACGCTTGAAATCCATGGAAAGTATCTGTTTTGATCACCATTCCAGTTTTCATTGCTCAGTTTTCACTTGCTACTTCCAGAGTTTTAATATTTTGTTTTGGACGTTTCGAACATAACAGGTTTGAAACCTGAAGAGTTCTTTGAGGACATACAAGTATGGAGATCAGCTCTTAAAAACTATTGGTCCTTGCTTACACCACTGATATTCTCTGACCACCCGAAGAGACCAGGTGATGAAGATCCTCTCCCACCTTTTAACATGATACGCAATGTGATGGACATGAATGCTCGTTTCGGGAACTTGAACTCCGCTCTACTTGACGAAAGAAAATCCGCCTGGGTGATGAACGTCGTCCCTGTCAATGCACGCAATACTCTTCCAATCATACTTGACCGTGGTTTCGCCGGTGTACTACATGACTGGTGAGTAATGATGGTTAAAAAAAGATCCTTTTAGAAATGGAAGACTCAAAAGGCTGATGCTTTTTTATCGAAATTCTATTGATCAGATTCTCAAACATGTTGCTTCATTGATTGCAGGTGTGAACCATTCCCAACATATCCTAGAACATACGACATGCTTCATGCTAATGAACTTCTAACGAGATGGTGTGTGCTACGAGAATCCACGTCCTGCCTAGGGATTCATCGTATAGTGTGCTAATATTGTTCCGGCAACCCGGAAGACAAACGGTTTATGAAACCGAGTGGCGCTGAGATCTTCAATGGCTGCTACTTCCTTTAAGTAATCTGTTCTCGTAATGAATCGCATACCCTAATGACTAATGAGGTACTTTAGCATCTACGTCACTGTAATAAGATACGAGCAAAAGGAAGTGATGGATGGTGACTTCTTTAAAGTAGTTTATACTTTAAATGTAAGGTAATAATAATTCAGAGGGAGGAAAGAAACGTAAATTAGTCTAAAGTAAACTTTATAGTATAATATTGTTCAACAAATGTTAGATTGGTGCAAGACAAGCGATTAATTCATGCAGAACAATAAAAATGCGCAACAAGTACAACAAATGTTGAACTAATGGTTTCGATATTTATCAGTTTTGACTAATGCTTTTAAGTACTTCAAGTTAAAGTTGTTGACAAAAAAAGAAAGAATATCTAGTTACATTAATATGATTTATCTAGTTACATGACAAGAATGAATTCACATTGCATTTTAATCAAACTGCATCTACATTTTTATGAATAGCAACAAAGTACAAATATGCAGACTTGCAATATTTTGTTATTTAGCAAAATCTATCCAATCGCACAAAAAATTTAGTCCGTGATTTTTATGCTGCATATTTTAACCCATCCGAGTGTTGGATGTACGTTCTTAGTTATGGAGTGTTGTTACCTATCAGAGACATGGTGTGATGCGACATTTTAAATAGAAAAAGGATTTGATAAAAATAGACGTTGACCAACGTAGAAATGAGATTAAGCCCCCCCAAAAAATGTATGCATTTTTACAACATTAATAATTAATCAGGCTTTAACTGTTTAGTGAAACGGCTAAAAGTTCCACGGTGCCGTTGATGACTAAAAACGTTTATAATCAGAAAAATAAAAGACTGAGGAGAAAATAAAATAAAGGACACACCTTTTCTCCACTCTTCTTCTCTCTCTCTCTCTCTTTCTACAGAGCAACTTCATCACTTCCCTGTAGAACAATATAGTTTAGGTTTATTGTCACCATAAGCACAAGGATTAGGGATTTCGTCCTTGTACTTGATTTCAGAGAAGACAATAGCCATGAACATTTTCAAGAAGAAGACAACACCCAAAGGTAAAGGCTCGATTTTCCCCTAGACTTTCGGATCCTGATGATTTGTTTGTCGGCTATAGACTTTAGTAACTGGGTCTAGGGTTCTACAAGGGTTCTGCTGAAACAAAACAAAAATGTCACCTTTCAATATACCTGTGCTTGACCCTGACGCTGTGCAGCGAGAAATCTTATGGGTTCTTAATTTCCATAATCGAGTTGTAGATTAGTTCTGCAAAAATGTCACCTTTAAATTACAATGTGCTTAAATCTGACAGTGTAGCGTGAACAGTCTTCTGGGTATTAAATTTCCTCAGTCAATGTGTGTTGTAGCTTAATTAGTAACATACCCTGATCCAATATTTGTTTCAGTGCTTCTCTCAAGTTAAAAAAAATTGAAACTTGTGTGTTCCCTTTAATATGAAAATCATTTTCTTATGCAGATGCTCTCCGCACCAGCAAGAGAGAAATGGCTGTGGCTACGAGAGGTATGTGTTGTTCTTCTTTTGCAAAGTTACTTGTGTTTATAAGCAAATGGTGTAGCAGAAGGAAGTCTTAGAGTTGTGAACAGCAGATGAAAATAGCTGGTATTCATGTTTTGCTTGTCTCCTGGGTTAATTGTTCCTTAGTTCTGACTAGAGTAGTTGCATCATGTGTTGGTAGCTAAATTATGATTAGTATTTTCTGTGGATAGCTATGTGAATTTTACTCTGTAATCCTTTGTTTAATCTAAGCTAAGTGTATGCATTGTCATTTGGTATTTTTCAATGTAATTGCAGGTATTGAACGAGAGATTACATCTCTTCAACTAGAGGTACAGGACATCTGAATGCTGGAAGTTTCTTTTTTTTTGCTCTTATCTCTTATCACCAAACTTTTCTTTCTTTGATTTTGTTCACTACGATGCTGTTACATCAGTAATTCTGACTGTCTTACTGGACTTTTAGGAGAAGAGGCTTGTGGCAGAAATCAAGAAAACAGCCAAGACTGGAAATGAGGTAAAACATTTCTAGTGAAACTATCGTTTCTTGTTCTTATGCAAAGTAACTTTGGATGCTAACTTGCTAAGCATGCCGAGGATTGAATTGAATCGATGTTTTCACAGTTTCTTGTACAGTAATAAACTTGTTTTGTTTGAAACATTTCTCATAGGCGGCCACCAAGATCTTAGCTCGACAACTTGTTCGATTGAGGCAACAGATCACCAATTTGCAGGGAAGCCGTGCTCAAATCCGGGGTGTAACCACTCATACACAGGTTATGTTACTTAATCTCTCTACTCATTCATCTTCACAGGCTCCAATACCATTATTAACATGTTGAATGTTTCCTTACTGGTATGACAATAATAGGCTCTGTATGCAAGCACCTCAATTTCATCAGGCATGAAAGGAGCAACCACAGCTATGGTTGCAATGAACAAGGTAACGATCCAACTTTGCTTCATTTACTTCTTTGATGGATTCTCTCACCTCTTATTTTAACATATATTGATCTGTTGTTTCACAATTTTCAGCAAATGGCACCGACTAAACAAGCTAAGGTGATCAAGGAATTCCAGAAGCAGTCAGCACAATTGGACATGACGGTAGACAAATACCTCTATATGTATCTGCACAGTTGTAGTCACAAAGATTGGAGAATTTGGCTGTGTCATGTTTGTTTTGTCTTTTGTGTATTTTTGCAGATAGAGATGATGTCAGAGGCAATTGATGAAACACTTGACAAAGATGAAGCTGAGGAAGAAACAGAAGACCTCACTAACCAGGTTAGTTTCTGCAGTTTTTCAATCGCACCTCTTGAGAGGTTTCTCTCCAAGGCTCTTCTATGTAACTCAAATCACCTATATTGTCCTCGTTCCTATAGGTCCTTGATGAGATTGGCGTTGGTGTTGCATCTCAGGTTGGTTCTTGTAATAGTTAAGCAAGGAAAATCTGCTTCAGGGGATTGGCTTGATACTAACTAAATCTTGTTTCTTACTATATGTTTCAACAGTTATCTTCAGCTCCGAAGGGCAGGATCGCAACAAAAACCGCTGCTCCAGCTCCTACCACTGCCAACAACAAGAACGAGTATGTACACACACACTTGAGTTCACATCATTTTAGACTTTTAGTTTTGATCTATTAAAGATTCATTTGTTTCATACATCTATTTTAACTTTTCTTGCAGCTCGGAATCTAGTGAAGTGGATGAACTAGAGAGGAGATTGGCTTCACTACGACGAATCTGAGAGGCATGAGACTTTCTCTTTGTAGGTATCAAATCATTATGCATCAAAAGAAAAAATCAGCTTCTTCATATATTTTTAGAGCTCTGTATAATATCTACCCATTTTATAAGCTTGTGTAAGAGTTTAAATCAAACACTTATACTTGTGTCACATGTTACTTAGATCAAAGACTTATTATATACTTACATCATCACCCTCGCAATTAAATATCAGTTCGAGCAGTTGTGCCACTGACTTTAAGATGTCCTTTTGGCTCTTTCTTATAACTATTTTCTCTATCCTCACGGGTCTAAATCAATAGCCCCTCGAATCAAGAAGAGATCGATTAAGAAATGAAGCATTTTATAAATGGGAGTAATTTAAAAGTCATCATTGAAGAACCAAGTTGGAGGATGATGGTGGTGATGATGACACATAAGACTCCTCATATCCACACTACTACTTATCTAATGTGAGAAATGTCACATTGTAATGAGAATCTTTCTTATGTTTTCAATAAAATAATCCCATAAGACTACACCTTATCTCTAATCAGTCTCTAAATTTCTCTATTTATACTTACATAAATATAGATTAAGAGAACAAACAAAGATTTGAGTAAAATGGGAAAGAAGATCTTATCATTTGGTTTTTTTCTTATTTGTGCTTCTTCTTGTTTACAAGAGTCTTGTTCTTGCTTCTAAACAATTGGAAAAACCTTGGAAAAAGCGACAACTTAATTACATAGATGTCTCTTTAGTCTAGTAGCTTTATTAAGGTGTTTTCTTGTCCAAGGTCCCGAGTTCGACTCCCAGTAATTACAATCTGTTTGTTTACCTTTATTTTCTATATGGATTGTTTTATAAATTCAATTATCTTTTAATAAAAATGTTTAAAATCGGCCCATTTTTTCCCCAAGCTTGCGGCCCTACACAACTCAGAAACGGCTCTGCTTCCATACATAGCCGACCTCATCTAAACACCTCTTGAGCACCCTCTGAACATCATAGATATGTGAAACATAAGTGCACTACAAAGTATTTAAATTTAGAAGATATTTTGAGTGATAAACATTTAACAAGCATAAATTTTGGAGAAACTTACAATGGCAATGAATGCATCGATTTCTCTCATCCTCTCATTGATGAGGTAGTCGATCTAGTGAAGAACCTCTCTCCTCTGCCGGTATGTCTCGTGGAGGGTCGGATTGATCAGCTCATACTCTGGTCCATAGTATATTTCTGGAGGAGCTTCTTCGTCGTCGGCCATTGGAAAAACTTTGGAAAAAGCGACGACACTGAAACCCGAATTCCTATTTTATACTTTTATTAATTAATGATTTATTTGGGTCTAAACCCATACTGAAGTCCAGTCTTAGAAACTCTCTCATTTCTCAGCTCTTGTAATTTACATTTAATCAAAAAAAAAAAAAAAACATCAGTTTCACAATCTATTTCTCCTTAATTGTCATTTCCATTTAATTTATGCTCGTAACAACATCATTTTTCAAAACCATACAATGGACTGTACAGAAAACGTGCATTCCTCCTCCAAGACTATGGTTTCCATTGCTTTGTGGTTTTGCATACAAACTCAAAGCTTTCAACATATTTGGAAATACCATGCTTTCCCAAACTAAACATCAAAATAATACTCAAATTTAGTTAACTGACCACGGGCATAGATTCTATTGTCAAACACACAACTGTGATGTGATTAAATTTTGATTAGGTTATCCATAATTTTAAAACAAATATTTATCATCTATCCAGCACTGGGCCCAAAGTTGACAAGTTATTGTTTACAAAATTTGAAATTTGTTCTTTTGAAAAACAAGTCAATTGCTCTTAATAATTATGATCAAAGTATGGCGAGGCTCTAGTGCTTTATTGGCCAACTCTGTCACTTCTTCATTGATCTTTATCTATGGTTACCATCCTTATTTGGTAAGGATTAAGGATATCACATATTTGTTGTCCTTATGCCAAAAAAAAAGAAAAAAAAAAAGTAATTTTGAAAGACCCAAGTAAATAAACAAATAAGCACACATCTGATTTTTTATATAAGAACTACATTATACTCTTTCGAGAAATTGATATAAATGAAAAAGAGAAATAGACATTGCATTTGAAAAATCACATAAATTATTATCAATCAAGCTTTCATCTTTTATATATGGGGTTAAAAATAAATCCGATAAAAATAAATCCAAAAAAGAAATCGCTATATTCATCGGCTATTTCAGATGAAAAAAAATTGTGAAAAATCTACATAACTAATAAGGCTTGGACACTCTCCTGTTCGGGACACGTGGCACATTCTTTTTTTTTTTCCTTCCAAACGCCAAAACGACGTCGTTTTGTTCCTTTAGAAAAAATAAATTATTCCAAAACGACGTCGTTTTCGTTGCTGCCAGCAAAAAAGTGACACGTCAGCTCCTTTCATTAAAAAAAAAAGTTATTTATTAAACAAAACAACCCGTCGCCTTCCTCTCTTCCCCGTTGAGGCGGCCGATTTCGCGGTTTAGCTTCCATCCGTTAGAGAACCTCTCTTGCTCCCGCGTACCCTATAAATAGGTTAGCCCAGCTTCTCCATTCCTTTTACGCTGATTCACACAGACCGTCGTCGTGCCATGGTTCACGGCAATCCGTTTCAGAATCTTTCGGCTTCCGTCAAGCTATCTTCCGTAACAGGGCTCCCTCGCACTTTCAAATCTCTCTCTCTCTAATCCGACTCGGTTGACACTCGGTGGCAACCCAATGGGTCAAGAATCGTTTATCTACAACTTCGTCGTCAGAGGCACAATGGTTCTTGCCGAGTACAAAGACTTCACCGGTAATTTGCTGCGCAGTGTCTCCAGAAGCTTCCTTTCTCCAGCAATAGCAAGTTCACTTACAATTGTGATCACCATACCTTCAATTTAGTCGTCTAAGATGTAGATTACTCTTTTTTTTTTTAAAAGAGAAGAAATTGGATCCACGATTTTCCGTCTGCAATCACTCTCTCTTCTCTGATCGACGATTCTGTCGGTGAGCTCAGAATCCGAACAAGGAAACCGCAAAATCTGAATCCGATCCTCATCATCTCATGTCGTTCTCCTTCTTCAATCTCTTTGAGGTCGTTACGCGTTGATTGGGATGAAAATTGCAAAAGGTTTTGGAAAAGAAGACAAGCTGTGGTGAAGCAAATGAGGCGTGACATTGTCGTTCTTCTTCAGTCCGGTGAAGATGCCACCGCTCGAATCAGAGTATATTTCCCTTGCCCGTTGCATTACTCTGAAAATTGCAGAAGATTTATTGCTTTTGTGTGAGGTGACTTCACTTACAGACTTTCATTGCATGGATAAGATCTTAGGTTTGTTTTTGGGTTTATGTTTGACTGATCATCTTTAAGCTTATGCGTGTTGTTCTTTCCTAGGCACAAAGAGTATTTGAGAATAGATGAGCTGAGATAGCCAAAGTGGTTTCAGGCAGGTAGAATCAAAGCTCCATCAAGCTCTAATAGTGCGTAAAGTCATCCTAATTACAAGGACCAAAGTGACTAATTTATGTTCTGTTCTTTGTGTTTGTAGAACGGACAATGCAGTGAAGAACAGGTTTACAACACTTTGTAAGAAAAGAGCCAAGAATGAAGCTTCGGCTAAAGAGAACAACTCAAACAGCAAAAGGATGCTGTTCTTTTGACAGTATTAGTACACTGACGGTATTAGTACACCGAGAAAAGGGGAGAATGAAATGGTAAGATTACGGGGAAACATTGGTTATATTGTAATGGAATAGTGAATTTTTGCATTGTGTGCTGAGGATTGGTTCAAGTTGTTCCAGAGTTACGATCACTATACATATGTGGTGTTGCTTTCATGCTTGAAACCAGAGTTTCTATTGTACATCCCTATTGGGAAAGAGTGGTTTTCTGGTCATAGTTGTTTGACGGAGTTTTTCATTTCCCAGGATACAATGCGATCGAGAATTAGAGAAATGCCTTAGAGAAACGTGGTTTGATTAAGAATGGGGATATGGAGAAGGCGAAACAGGTGTTTGATGCTATGCCTAGCAGATATTGTCTCGTGGAACGCTATGATTAAAGGGTTTATCCAGAACGATGTATTGGAGGAAGCGAAGGTCTTGTTTGAGAGTATGAGTGAGAAAATTGTAGTTACTTGGACGAGTATAATGTGTGGTTATTGCAGATACGGAGATGTTGATGAAGCTTATAGATTGTTTTGTGAAATGCCTGAGAGAAATGTCGTTTCTTGGACCGCTATGATTAGTGGGTTTGCTTGGAATGAGTTTTATAGAGAAGCTTGGTGTTGGTGTTGGTGTTGCTTTCACCGTCTTGGCCAGAAAGTGCACGCACAAGTTCTATTTAATGGTTGGGAAAGTGTCGATCACGATGGAAGGTTGGCGAGAAGTCTTTGTTCGTATGTATGCATCGTCTGGTTTGATTGCTTCAGCGCAGTCTCTGTTCGACAAGAGCTTTGATTTGCAGTCTTGCAACATCATGATCAAAGGTTATTTAAGAAATGGGATTTGGAAAGAGCTCAAACTCTTTTCAAGAAAGTCGAGCTACGGAGTAAATTTATGTTCAAAAGTATAATTTTTGTAAATTTTTTTTTTTTTTTGGTTAAGAACCAAATAAAAAGTTTTAGAGATGGAGGAAGAAAAAATTTAAGAAACCACATAAAAGTTGTTAGTATTGGTTTGTGTAAAAATTAATAATAAAATATGATTTAGAACCAAAAACATGGTTTTAGGGATGGAGATGGTCTTAGATAATGTAAAACTTATCTTTGCATATTTTTTTTTGGTGGTTGTTTTTTTTATTAAGGAATCAAGAACCAACATACACAAAGCTTCGTTTCTCCCTTGAATTGACAGTCTGAGGAGCCCAAGCGAGATTTGGTGGCTGATATTATGTTGGAGGAGGAGCATGGCAGAGAGCTCTCTATGAACTTGAAAGAATTGCTCACTGACTACTCCATTCGCTCACACATATAATTGCGTTTGCTCTTTTCATATTAAAAAGATAAAATCTGTTCGGTATGACAGGAGAAAAGACATGAGGGTGTCCATGTGTTTGACAGAATACATAGACGAACATTGAAGACACAGACTTCTCATCGTTGGAAGACGAGAGGAGGGAAAGTAGCTCAAGCTTCGGACTGACAAAATCACAAACCATTGTTCCAAAGAGTGTTCCTATTGAAATGGACGGCGTTATGCTTCCCTGGCTGCAATGGGACACTCCAGACGACACTGGTGCTGCTCTAACACGCCTTAACATGGCGCCACACACGCCAATTACAAAGCCGAATCAATGGGAATCCGGTGCAGCTCAGGTAATAGCAGTAAACCGGATCGAAATTTATCACTGGATATTAAATTAGATGAGACAGAGAAAGTTTCTGACATTAATGTCGTCTTCGTAGGATTCATCGAGCGGGCGAGAAACAGCCAGCATTGGTACCATAAGTAGCAGAGGAAGTTGGAGCCCATATGAGTCAGCCACAAAGCCTGTGAATCACGTAAGAACACTGAAGATAGATGTGGGTGAGTATCTGAAGCGACCTAACAGTGAGGATATGCAAAATGAAACGTGGAAGCTAAGGTTCAGAATGAGTTCGGGAAGTCTTGTGTTATCGTAGCCGCTCATTGATCTAAGAACTAGATTGAGATTAACACCATGATATCATCATGACGTAACTTTTTCGGTCATCAACCAGCAAGCTCATTTTCAATGGGTTTGTGAACAAACTTTCTAACAATATACAGACCACACAAATTTAGTTTAGTAAGAGAAGTTATAGTTTTTCCAGTAGAAGATAACTTATGGTTTTACTGAAGTCTTCATTTATTTCGTCATAGACATACCTTCATTTTTTTTAGGTAAAACTCTATAGACATTACTTTAAACGTCTTCAAATTAATAAATGTTGTACAAATTTATGAAATAATTATAAAGAAACAAACCATCCCTTAAACTAATAATCAATTACGATATGAAATATGAACATATTTAAAATGAAAATATTTAACCCAATAATATTGATATAAACTATCCATTCATTATCGCTGTAGAATATACAAATACTCAAAACTTAAAAACAAAGAATGTAAAAATATTTAGAACAAAAGCAAATAATAAAATACTATTAATATATAAACCTGCGCATTGCGCGGGTACTCTCCTAGTGTATATAAAAGTGGAATCAACTCGTGAAACACTTGACACAGACGAAGCTGAAGAATAACCAGACGATCTCACAAACCAGGTTAGTTACTGCAATTTCAATCACAAGAATCAAGACTCACACCTCTCGTTACTTTTCTCCAAGCTTCCTCTATCTAACTCTATATATCCTCACTCTTATAGGTGCTCAATGACATTTGGTTTTGGTGTTCCATTTCTCCGGATGCTTGTAAACTAAAATTCTTGTTTCTTGCTTCTCTCTAAATGTACACAACATACGAGCTCACGTTATCAACTTTGGTCTTGATCTATAAAGATTCGTTGGGATAGATGATAATTTATTCCTTTCACACATCGTACATTTTATGGATGGTCAGAAAGATCAACAAATATATATGACATTTAGATCTCAAGTTCTTATAGAAAACGGCACAACAAAAAAATAAATAAGTAAAAAAAAAAAAAAAAAAAAAAAAACTCAAAAGAGTGTGTGAATCAATAGAGGGAAACAAAAAGAGATTGCTCACTAAGTGAAACTCTCTAAAAACCACAATTTTTATTTTTCATAATCATTCGAGGATAGCCTGAATAACTCCAGCGCCAACAGTCTTGCCTCCTTCTCTGATAGCAAACCTCATCCCTTGTTCACAAGCCACCGGCACAATAAGCTCAACCACAATCTTCACTCTATCACCGGGCATAACCATCTTCGACTCCTCATCCTTATCGTTCATAATCTTCGTCACTTTCCCGGTAACATCAGTCGTCCTCATGTAGAACTGAGGCCTATACCCTGCAAAGAACGGAGAATGCCTCCCACCTTCTTCTTTCTTCAACACATACACAATCGCCTCGAACTTCGTATGCGGCGTAATCGAACCGGGCTTAGCCAAAACCATCCCTCTCTGAATATCAGCCTTTTGAATACCCCTAAGCAACAACCCTACATTGTCTCCAGCTAAAGCCTCATCAAGAATCTTCTGAAACATCTCAACACCAGTGACTGTGTAGCTCCTAGTCTCCCTCAACCCCACTAAATCTACAGTCTCTCCTACCTTAACCGTACCTCTCTCCACACGCCCTGTGGCTACGGTGCCACGTCCGGTGATAGAGAAGACGTCTTCAACAGCTAACAAGAACGGCAAATCGGTCTGTCTCGTTGGGATTGGGATGTAACTATCAACAGCATCCATGAGCTCGTAAATTTTATCTACCCATTTGTTATCACCTCTCTTCACATTTGGGTTCTCAGTGAGCGTCTCTACAGCTAAAAGCGCGGAGCCAGAGATAATCGGAATATCGTCACCGTTGAATTCGTAAGACGAGAGAAGCTCACGCACCTCGAGCTCGACGAGCTCTAGCAGCTCCGCGTCGTCTACTTGGTCCTCTTTGTTGAGGAAGACGACCATGTCGGGGACACCGACCTGCTTGGCGAGAAGGATGTGCTCTTTCGTCTGCGGCATAGGGCCGTCGGCGCCGGAGACGACGAGGATTGCTCCGTCCATCTGCGCAGCTCCGGTAATCATGTTCTTGACGTAATCGGCGTGACCGGGGCAGTCGACGTGGGCGTAGTGGCGATTCTCGGTCTCGTACTCCACCGTGGCGGTGTTGATTGTGATTCCGCGAGCTCTCTCCTCCGGCGCGGCGTCGATCTCGTCGTACTTTTTGGCGACGCTGGACCCGATTGAAGCTAGCGCCATGGTGAGAGCTGCGGTTAGAGTGGTTTTTCCATGGTCGACGTGCCCAATCGTGCCGATGTTCACATGCGGCTTCTTCCTCTCGAACTTGGCACGAGCAGCGCGGACGGTGAAGGAGCGGCGGGTGGATTGCGAAGGTGCGGTGGTGGTGGTGGAGAGGCTGGCCAATGAGTATGAAGGGAGGAAGGAGGAAGAGAGATTTAGGGTTTTGAGTTTACCGGAGGAGGAAATGGTGGAAGGAGTGGAGTAGGAACAGAGGAGTCTGGAGGAGGAAGAACAAGCGGCGGGAGAGGAAATCGCCATGGAAGACGGATTGGAGGAGAGCAGAGGAGGAGGAATCGAGAATCTAGGTTTTGAAAATTTGGTTTTGGAGAAGAAGAAGATTTGGGGATAGAGTGAGATTGTATAGTGTTATCTCTTTCAGAAGAAAAAATAAAAATAATTGAAGGGCTCAAATTTAATCCTATCCATTGCAAGTTCTTTGTCCTCATGTTTTCAGAAACACACAAATCGTGCCGTTTTTTGAGTTCCAACGTCGCAAGTCGTGCTCTTTCTTTACAGTCGTAAACGGCAAGACGAACAAATGTCATTAGAGGAAACTACATGTTGTTTATCTAAAACCTGAAGAGATTCTTATGGACTTTGGGCACTAAACGGCAAGTAAGTGAGACTCGAGTTTGGTCTCTGTGAAGAATCTTGTCACCATCTTTTCTTGAGACGGCCAAAGCTTCAGCTTCATTAACGACCTGAAAATGAAAAAACAACAATAAGATCACTGTCCTCTACACCAATGTCACTAACATTTTACATATATTCATATGAAAAAAGCTCGTGTTGGACCTGATTGTAGCTTTGTGTTGGTCTATCGCTAATCCCGTGGAGGAAATCTGAAAACAAGACAGGACAATATGAAAACTGTTACTGATTACTCTAATATGATCTATGCAGTTTAAGGTGTCTAGAGATGAGGAATTTGCCTGAGTAAGCCTCATCTTTGAAGATCAGCAAGCTTCGAGGCATCAACAAGACAGAGGATGAGTGTTGATTATCTCTCTCAGTCTCAGGCACACAACTCTCTGCAGCACCTGTATTTTGGTCTCTGGAAACGTCATCATCGCTTGATCTTAGTCTCAAATGCGGACTGAAGTCCATAACGACAGGTGAGCCTAGAGACAGGATGGCTACAACAGGGAAGTAAGCAGGTCCATCTTGGTGCGGCTGTGAAAACAACAACCATGGAAGTTACAAAACTAAAACCAAAAGAATAAACAGAAAAATCATTGAAGTAAGAAGCTGTGTAAACAATGCTAACGGACCATGATCCCTTGGTCAGGATGGTATTCATTGATGAGGACATGGTTGATAGCAGAAGGGAACAGACCGGAGCTTTCATGAATCTTCTCTGTAATCTTTGTCAGCCAAGAAGGCACTGAAACAAAGCGAAAGATATATACATAAACTCTTGAGTATCTAGAATTTACATTATCAAGAATCAATGACGTTTTTTTCACATGTTTACTTACACTCTTGTGGAACAAGACCCTTTTCATGAACCATACCACCTGCAGAATAAAACCCAAAAGCTCAAGACTTTTTTGTTTCTTTCTTCAAACATTCACAGAAACATAATGAAAACGAAGTATGATGAAGTGTACAGAAGTCTCCTCACACACCCCAATTCTGTAATCTTCTGTTCTTTAACGTCTTCCACTTGGAACCAGATGCTCCATATATCTTACAGGTCAGTAAAAAGGGTGCATATGTTATATAACAGGAACGAGATCAAAAAAAGTCAAGGTGCAAAAGAATTGGTGAGGAGTTTACATGATTGAGGAGCTGAGTTTGCTCTTCATCAGTGATGAAACCCGGAATGTGGTATATTGTTGGGGTAAGACCAACCCTGAAGCTCTCTAACTCCATGGCTGTGTTAAGAATCAAACTTTAGTTTGGTAAATTTAAACAAAATTAGAACAGTTCCTATTCAAATCTTCAATCGATGATGAGACAGCTCAGGAAGACTAATGTTATCAACCAAGCGCAAGCGGAGAGTTCCATACACATCCAAACTAAGACTATTTTCTTCTGATTCTCATAAATCAGAGCTATGATCGGAGCAAAATCAATCATATTTTGGAGAAGCACGAGTCTATTTAACTAATTTACTTGCAAAGATTCGTCTGTCTTCTACTTAAAAACCATATCACCAATCGGGAATGTAAAAGGAAACAGAGCTGTCGATAAACCCTAAAAGAGAAGAGACGGAATTGTTGCTTTCACCTGAGAGAGGAAGAATCTGAGAAATACTCTCGATCAATGGCTGAAGCAAGCAACCAAAAAACCAGTTCCTTCTCTCTTTTCTCCCGCTTAAGGGGTTTGATACACCGAAAGGTTACATCTTTCTTGGGCTTTCTTATGTAAGACCCAAAAATCTTCTTCAGGCTCTGAATTTACATTTGATCATTTAAGAGAAAAAAGATTATTTACTTTTCCCAAATCCCTAATATAAGAGAAAACACTAACTAAATAACCTTTGTCTAATGTGTTATTAACAAGAATGTCATTGCTTAGGTGTCATCACTAGGTTCACTCTTAGAGCAATTTCTAATTAAGACAAGCTTTACTAGACAAATTACAATATATGCCATTGCATATTATGCTTACAACCAAATAATGAAATTAAATTTATCATTCTCTTTCCTTAATTGGCAACTACGAAAATTAGTAAATAAGGAAGATATGAGATTCAATTTAATTCATCATAATAATTTCTTTTAAAATCAGTATACATCTTCTGTTTAAATTTATTTAATAAAATAATTTGAATCACAATATAAAAAATCTATCAAAAAAATCTAAAACTTTTTCTGTACATGTTATGATTTGAATTTTTAAAAACAAAATAATATAAATTGTTTCGTATATAACCTCATTTAGTAGGTATCCAAATGTAATTTTTTTTCATTTAATATGGTTTTTTAATTAAAATCTATAATAAATCGAATAAAAAAGTTCTTTTTATAAATATTTTATTTTGATTAAACTTTTGAATATTACTCTATCTGTTTCAACTTTCTATACAAAATTAATTATATTTTTGCTGTTTTGACAATTTGGATTCTGCATATTATTTTCTGATTGGTTGGATTGTTTTGAAATTATAATAAAGCATGTTTTAGTTTTGAAAGAAAAAAAAATTAGTTCTAATCCGTGTCCACACAGCTAAAACTTTTTATCTTATGAAATACATGATGTATAATTTTTCTAAAGAATAATGTTTTATTTTCAATTTTTTTCTTTAAACTATCTTATTATATTATAGTTATTTGAGTTTTATGTATCTCGGTTAAATCTATCATATTTAATCTGTGGTTACGATCAATGCTTTAATTTATTTCTTTTTTTTAAATGGATTAAAATGCCTAATTTTCATACTATAAACGAATAACAAAGATTAAAAATCTCTCGCATAAAATGTCGAAATATTTAAATAAAAATTTTTAATAAAAATACAAATTCAGAAACTATCACCCCGTGCTGGGCACGGGTCAAACCCTAGTTTTTCATTGTAATAGAGACTGTGTTTGTAGTCGGAAACAGGAAAATTGTAAAGGAAAAACTACATATCTAATGACGACTTGTGATTGTTGTATTTTTCAGAATCATAATTTGGATCTGGTTACTATCAAATTCAGAAGAGGACATTCCGTATCCAAACTGTATTTGGTTGTTATCAAAAGATCAAAAGTCAAGGTCTTGACGACTTGAGAACATAATCACTAACTCAAATTCACATATTTGTTTATGATCTTAAGTTTTGCAGTGCTTTTCCTGTATGCTAACAACATTTGTTAGAAATTAAAAAAACTCAAATACATATGTGAGATGGTCTTTGTTCTATAGATGTTGTTAGCTAAGCAAAGGTCATTAGTGAAAGCTGGAAAAAACAATCATAAATAGTTAGCTAGTTTTAACCAATTTTCGTGTTCCAACATTTTCCTTACAACCCTTGAAAACATATCCCTTGTGTTCTCTCTAATCCAGTCTCCACCTTTTGCTTGCTTTGTCTGTTTTCCAGGTTTTCCTGGCTTCGTTTATCTGCGTTCTCCTAACAAAAGTAAAAAGGTAGAGTTGCTTGCTAACCAAGAACAAGGAACACAAAGATATGGAATTTAGAACACATGACAATTCACAATCAACCTTTAATTCTGTGATCAATGGGTGCTGCTGCTTTCAGTCAGTATTCAGAAGACTGTCTTCTTGCCAGTCGATGCCATCGTCTTCGTCTTCTTCATTTGCTTCAACATTCAAGTCCACCTGGAAGTCTCCATCTGCTGCAAATTAAGTTACATGAAAAAGTAACCAAGCTCAGCATCACATGTATAATCCTTACATGTATCATGAGACCTAAACTCTCTCTCTATCATTCAAGCCCCACTAATATAGTTAAACTATAAGCATGCCGTAACAAGTATCTTCTTGTTGGAGCAAATGCAAACGCTCTGTTTCGGTTTCATGCTTGAAGAAACTATTAAATGTTCCTTCTAACTAAGTAATGTGTTGTCTCATATAATCAATTTGATAAAATGAAGTAGATAGTAAACTCAAACTGACCTGCAGCAGGAACCTGTTCTTCCCATATTTCATCTTCCTCATCTTCCTCTTCACGTTTGGACTTCACACCAACCTGACGATCGGAGGATGTAGTAGCCAATTCAGTGTCGCCTGCGGATTCTTGCTGATTCGCCTTTTCAGCTAATGCTTGCTGCTCCAGTAAAGCGGCATAGTAAGCTTTGAGATATTCATCCTGATGCGAAAATGGAAATAAAATGTAGGGCATGTATCAAGATTCTGGAAACTTTACCCAAAAAAAGAAGCTTTACCCCAAAAGCCATACCTTCAAATCCTTATCATCGCCATTTCCCATGGCTGATTTCTTATCATCTGAAAGTTCTGCTCCTCCTCCTGAGACACCATCAACCTTTTCTTCCTGTCTCATATCTCCTCTTTGTTCCGCAGTCAGATTCATTCCTTGCTTGATCATCCATGGAGGCAGAACTTTCTGACTAGGATCTCCACCTTCAGATTTGACATCTTCTTTTCCTTCACCAAGGTTAACCTCAACCTAACCATATGATTGTAAGATTTCAGAAATCAACCTTCCACAATAACATTGAGATTCTATATACATTGACAAGTGTAACTAACAATCACCTTTGTCTCTCCGAGAAATGGCATCAGTGTTGAACCATACCCACCCTGTGACCTCGAAGGATCATTAGGGTTAAGATCCCCATTTTCACGAGCAGCCTTAGCTGCACGAGCCTCCCATGCCGGAAAAGCTTCACAATTAGGAACCGGAAGGTCTTTAACCCTATTTATTAGTTCCATCAGAGGTTCCAGTCGAACCTGATACCAACCGCCAAGGAGACATTTAAATACAGCCACATACTCTCTCTTTCTTTGCAATCTCAAGCATTAGAAATTTAAAAACGGATCTCACAGAAAACTAAATCGTTCTAATATCATCATGAATGTGAAACGATGCAGCTTCACTGAAGGCAAATCAATTTCTGTTTTAGCAAACTTTTATTGTACTGAGCCAGTAAAAAAGCATACACTTACCTCTGCATTCTGAAGCAAAAGTTTGAGTTTTTCCTGCTGCTGACTCTTTGCATTGTCACCTCCATCTACTACTTCTTTGGAAGTTAGCTTGTTACATTCCACAACAAGTTCACTATTGCAATTTTCACAATGAAAAGAATCGTCTTCCATCGAAATTAATCTCAGGGCATCCAGTGCATTATATCTATATTAGAAACGAAAATCTATTCAGGTTTCTTGAGCATAACACAACTCATCAATGTAAAGATTTTATAACACAAAGAGTAGTGGATTTTACTTTCTCTTGCAGTTGGGACAGCCATACTCCTGAACAGTATTCTTATCTTCTAGTTCACTTTTGAGTTTCTTTTTAATCCGGTCCAGTTTATAACGAACAATGTCATACATCTGTAATGTAAGAGTTAATATAAGGTAGTTTCATCTGAAAACAATAAAAAAGGTAATTCAGCAAACTGAAAACAAAAAAAGCACTAGGGATATGAAGGAATACTTGTTGATAATCAAGACAGCAATACGAGTGTGTGTGGAGCTTAACATTGTCCTCTGCTCGGCCATCAGTTGTAGCAGACACTGCAACACTGTACATCTTCGCACGCTTTGCAGTCTATTGAAAAAAGACAATAAAACAGCAGTGTGAGGAAATGATTGTTACGGTATCAAAGACAACCAAACAATCAAACAGAAGATTGTAGAAAACGTGGTGGAAAAATCCAACCACAAGTTGCATCAACCCTATAGGGTCATAGAAGAACGCAGAACTTGGAAAAGAAGTACACAACCTATCATTCTCTCACACTCATGTTCTTTCAATTATCTTTTCACTTATATTATGACAATATGCTACTTATCAAAAGACTAAAAGAGTTGTTGAGTTATAGGCTTCACAAGAACAATATTGTGCAATAAGTGCTATATATCAAGATCTGAAAGAGCATAATTTCGGCAGACCTCTTTCCTCTCGTAACGCATGACCATTTTTTGTTCTTCAAAGTGCCTTAATATTTTTCGGAGTTGCTTGGCGTTCACCCTCAAGTCTTTTGCCAAGTCTTCTTCTCTAACCCATTGCCGCCTAGAAGACATAGAACAAAAGGAATACCAGAAATGAAACTCAGTAAAAACGTAGCGGGTTTTAAATAACCAATCTTAGCAATATCAACCTTACACAACTTCATAATCAAGTTTCACAAGTTAGTCTACTATTCTACTGAAAAGCCAAAATAGACATAGAGATTTGAGCCACTTATTCAACAAACCTAATTACGCAGTGGACATAAAAGAATTGTCTGGAAACTATTGTGACAACTTTAAATCTTATCAAAATTCACCTAATTGACTTTTCCGGTGAAGATATCAAAGAGATGCGAACACAAACCTCGTAAGTGCGTCGAGCACCACAACAGCAGTCCCTCTGCTCTCAGTTCTTGCAGATTTCTGCTGATTATCGCTAACTGTGGTATAATTATCATAGAAAACCCTTGCTACAGTCCTCACCAGCCTGAAAGTGAACAAACAAACTGATAAGGGACTGTATGAACATATATATATATATACGAAGATTCTGGACATAAAGGATAGAGAGTTACTTGATAAATGGTTCGAGCACAACGGTTTTCCTCACAGGGACTGATATTTCCATTGGGATTAATAGACCAGATACTCAGATATAGCAGCCGAGGAACCAGTATCAGGTTTGTGTTTGATACAAACTCTGCATTGAAGCAGAAGGATTACATTCCGCAAAGAGAACAAACAAACTTAGAAACAGAGCAATCACCGGGATAAGTAACTAACACTGCAGAACCAAAGAGCTAGTTCTTGGAAAGTGGTCACAAGATACGTTTTTTAATGATCCATAAGGCCAAAGAACAAGTACCCCCAAATCAATATTGGCTCACAAAGTTGTTCCAAAAATTAATAAGTTTGGATGTTAATAGAGGCAACAGAGAGATGAAAACTTCTTTGAAAAGTGTATGTTTTTGAGTAATGAGGACTTCTTTGGGTTGGAATTCAGAAGAAACTATGCTAATGCCAGCCACGGAGCAACAATACCAATGAACACGAGCCAACACAGAGATGCTACTTGCTCAAAATCGAAGAAACTACGACCTCAATTTCAAACCCAGACAGTGACTCCCAAAATCCGATTGCAAACCAAACCAGCAGCAAGAAAAGTCAGGATATTTCGAATTGAAGGTAAGATTTATTATATCAGAGAAACCGCAAGGCGAGCACAAGGGACGTATAAAGACCTAACGCAAGATAGAGGCAGCAGAAAACTGATGAACGCCGGCGAGAAAACGGAAGTTGATTTACCAACCGGAAAAGAGAATGCGATTCCGATTTCAGGCCAAGGGATGAGTTTGGGTTCTGAGGGTTTCTACGATTTCACAGCGATCAATTCGACTCGAACCAAACAAACACCTCTGCGATTCATATAACTTACGGAGATACATATAAAGAGGGGTGATCAATATCTATGGGCTTTTTTTAAATCGGCCCAAAACGGTTTTAATTGTTTTTCCATCATCTTCTTGAGTTAGTTTTGTTGCATTGGTTACTTTTCGTGTACATTCTCACAATACTGGTTAATGCATTCTCACAACATTGGTTAGAAATTTTGAAATTCAATACATTTTTGAGTTGGTTTTTGTTCTAGATGCTGCTAGATAAGCAAAAGATCATCTGATAGCTGAGAAAAAAGAACAATCGTAAATAGTTTGGCTAGTTTTAACACGTTTTGTTTGATCATTCAACATTTTTTCTTACAAGCCCTTGAAAACATGTCCCTTATGTTCTTTGATCCAGTCTCCAACTTCGCTTGCTTTGGCTGTCTTCCTGGCTTCTTACTTGCTTTCTCCTAAAAAAAATGTAAGCAAGTAGAGTTAGTAACCAAGAACAAACACAGAGATTATGGAATTTAGAGCTCTTGTATACAGTTTCTTCATACACACACACCTGTGATGGGTTTGAGGATGCCGTGTGATTCTCATATGCAGTTGGAAGATTCTCCATATTGGTTTCTTTCATCGTCGGGTCAACAAACTCGAGTCTGTAAAACAAACCAGACATAAGGAAAGCTTTATTTTTGTAAGGAGTTATGATTCTCTATTGCTAAGTGATTGAGGAATTCAAGTTTTGAATTTTGAAAAGAGTACCCAAGATGATCGTAGAGAAGCTTCAACCAAGGCTCTGTCTTCAGGTACTCTCCCACAATTGAAACGGCGTCTACCACTGTACAGATTAAAGGTGATGTCAGTGAAAAGCCATATTACAATCAACATGTTTGTAAGGACATACACCAACAACTTCCTAGAGATGCCACATTTCTGGAATCAAAAACACAATTAAAAATGATTTTTGTTCTAAAACTTACATGTTTGTTTCTCATCTTGAGCTGCATAGTTCTTGTCCAATTCCGGTAGAGTCTTCTTTAAACTGCACACCTGCGTTCATTAAAGTGCAGACACCTTTAAGGATATGAATAAAACAGATAAGAACTAGCATACATTACTAATCTTTTCCTCAAATCCATACAGAGAGACAAGAATTATAGAATGTGAAACAAAACCAGTATTAAAATCAGTTTCTCTCTAGAAGCCGCAAATACAGAATTTTCACCAGGCAATATCCAAAAAGACATATGAGCATTAAAACTCATTCCTGAAGCATAGTGATTTAGACACATGTATCACTTTTTCAAATGGCGAAGGTATCAAGAAAATTTCAACTGGATCGATAGAAAAGGCTGCAATAAATCATCTTCTGGCAAGAGCATACCTTACAACTTAACCAAGCTAAAACTTTCGAGTTATCAAGCCGATAGAACTTCATAGATCCAACCTCTGTAAGAAGAGAAGAAAGAGGAATGAGGTAACTGAAAAAATACAGATCACCAAGCTCTACAATAATAAAAGACCAGGCAATCTGAAAAATCTGGTTCTGTAAGTGTGTGAAACCATAGAACGGAAATTTTACCTTGAGTTTGACAAACGATTTCCATACACTTGTCTGCAAGTGGTAACAAATGTTGATATTCCGGAAATCCTTCCACATATAAAATCTCATCCAGTTGCCTGAACTTTCCAGGATCTTCACCTTTCTACAAATCGACAATTTAAGAACACATTTTAACATTGCCGAGAAATGGAAATCAGACCGGAAATAACAGTGAATCAAGAAGAGCCAAGGAGCATAGAGTGACCTTCATTCTTGCTTCATCGAAAATAGGCAACAAGATGAAAACTGGATCAACAGTAGTTGCCATATATAAGCTTCCATCTGTGACAAGAAAACCATTCATGAACATAAGGGAAATAAAAACTTTATGCTTATGCTTGCACTGCATATAAAAACTGATCAACAGTTTGGAATTTACCTTCAGAAATGTAATCTCCCAAGAACCAAGAACCGTATGATTGCTTAAACCACTGAAGTTCTTGAAGCATCCCATCATTAAAAAGATAACATGTTCCCTCTTCTGCAATATAAGCAAAAGATACCAAACCACATAAGATGTAACTAACTGAAGTTTGCCCAACAATACTATATAGCAAGCCTGTCGATAATCTATATCCCATTACCTGATTTTGGATGGCGAAGTGTTAATAGTTCTCCAGGTTTGCTTCCACCACAACCTGAATCTTCACATAAGAAACGAAAATATGGTCATGTTATGATTTAAAGCATCAAATGTTTCCAACTTGCATAGCCAATGAAGGTTTTAAAACAAGAGAGCAAAGGATTAATTTCTTTAGAATATTCAGCAACATCATTTCAATTCTGATGAACATATCTATCTAATGAACAATAGTCTAAGTACTCAGAAGGATAACCTGGGGCAATGAGAACTCGTGTCTTCTCAACTCCTTCCCACCAAACAGTAGAACTCATCTTCAAAGAAGAAAATGTCCCGGTAAAGGGTTAAATAACCATAGATCAGCCGACCAGTACAATGTGAAATTGCTATATAAAACTCAAAGAAGACGACACTTTTCCCTAAAACCCGAAGTAATTTAAAAAACCAAAAAAAAAAAACTCAAATCAAGAGCAATGCGAGAAAAGATCGTAGATTGCGAAACCCTTAACACTAATTAGATTGTATACCTGATGAAGGCAAAAAGACTCCGGAATAGTGAGGTAACTAAATCAGGAAGAAATTTCTATCAGACAATTCATCGAACACTTGGTGTTCAATATTAAATTTCCAAGAGTTTCGGACCAGACAAAGAAAGTAGAAGTGACGATCAAAATTCACTGGTTTGGCGCCATAACAATAGTAGCGCGCGCATTTGATTATGGGCCTAGTATATTTAACAAAAAAGTCCAGGCCCATAAACTAGTAGAGATAAACTATTTTTAAACACCCCTGAACTTCAGGAATTAGCCAGTTAACTCCTCTATTTATCTACTTGCAAAATCACCCCTGAACTTAAGAAAGTGAAGAAGCTTCAGTGGACTGTCAAACAACCTTGACAAAAGCCAGTAGAGAATAGATAAACTAGTTATATAATAATATAACAAAAAACTACATTAAGATACATAGAAATCAAACTATGAAAATGTTTAACGCATAACAAAAGAAAACAAAGCAAAAAGCTACTAATTAATACTACTACTACATAAGAATCCAAGAGACACAGCAACAGAGGAGTCAATGCCATAAGACTCTCTAAATAATACCCATTACAAAAGACAAAGGTAAAATATATTCTGATGCTGTTTTAGTGTTCTTCTTCTTCTTCTTCTTCTTCTTCATAATCTTACAGAAAACCATCTCATAAAAAGCCAATCTTCAAACTGTACAAGATCAGAGTCTTCTCTCTCACTCCTTCCACAGGTGAAGTAATCCATGTTTTTTAAAAAAAAAGGTCCGGATAAAGTAGCTTTTTCAGAGAGAAGTCATCGTTGATGCAGACAGGTTCATGAGTAGACCCGGTCACATAAACTGTACAAAACACTGACTGGCTTCTTAGCTGCGCCTTTCCAATAGACTTTCTCGAGTTTTCCATTGGATTGAGGACGTGAAGGGACGGTTTCTTGGCAGATTTGTTGAAGTAGGACGCTGTCTAGTTCTCCACTAGCTGCTCCAATTAACCCTGCAAGTTTTTATTCAAGAAAAAGGTTAGGTTTTAAGTTTGCTTGCTTTACACGGAGAATAAAATGAGCTAGGTTTTGGATTTTGTGTTTTGTTTCTCTTTTTACCTAGAAACAGAGGAGATGGCTTTCCGGGTCTTGATTTGTACTCAGGATGGAACTGAGCTCCAACGTAAAACGGATGGGTAGGCAGCTCAACGATCTGCATTATCATCAATATGTAAAGAATCATCATCACCAAGAACATTGAAAACTTTCATGTGGTGTAAGTGGATTATGATCTATAGGCTATTACCTCCATTCGCTGACCAGTCTCGTCTTTCCCAGTGAATGTGAGTCCCGAGCTCTCGAAACGTGGAACCATGGCTGGATTTACCTGTAAGAGAACATCTTGTATTAACTTAAACTGTCAAAAAGATTTAACTTTTGAGTAGATTCTGAAAGATGCTTCAGTACCTCATATCTGTGTCTGTGTCTCTCATCCACAAAACTTCTGTTCCCATAACTGAAAACATTCAGAAGAATTAAAGATCGGTTAAGCTCTAAGATGCATAAAGTTGGAAACTTTTTAGAGTGGAAGAAGAGTCTTGTGCTTACAGTTTTGCTGATTTGGAGTCCTTAGCTTGGAAATACGTTCTTCTTGAGCCTAACCTCATAGTACCTCCCATATGCGTCTTTGAGCCCTGCTTCATTCAAACATCACACGAATTAACTAGAGTGAAGTTTATTGAAACTTTTAAAACAGCAAATGTGAGAAGGAACCAAACCTCAGGCATGAAGATGACACAAGGGCTTTTGGTGTTGGGATCAAGCTCAGTGCTGTTTGCATCTGGCAAGCCAAGCACGGTTCTTGCGTACTCGATCACAGCGAGCTGCATCCCAAGACAGATACCGAGGTATGGAACTCTGTTTTCTCTGGCGTATTTAGCTGCAAGAATCTTTCCTTCAACACCTCTGGTTCCAAAACCTCCAGGCACAAGAATACCATCAGCACCCTAAAAGACAAATCACATAAACTCCATCAATGGTCTTGAGACAAGAGATCATGATTCTTTTTTATGGGAATGAAAGAAACTTCGAACCTTTAGTAACTTCCAGGCTGCCTTATATGCATCCGGATTCTGCAAAAGGAACCATTTTGCTTCAGTTTCTAAGAGTTTCATAATTTTGTATGAGGTAATAGAGCTTAGTGTATAGTGTAAAAATATACCTCCTTTTTGGCCACTTGTTCAAGATCACTAGCTGAAATCCAGTCTATGACAAGTTTCTTGCCCCTAGCCACAGAAGCGTGCAAGAGAGCCTGCTCATCGAACACAATAATTCCTTTTATCAAATACAAGCACAGTTGTTGATAATATGTGTTTGATCATAGAAAGGCTTCGAAAAGTGTACCTTGTGAATGGAAAGATAGGAATCCAAGAGCTCAGTGTACTTCCCAACCACAGCAATTCTTACCTGAAAAAAACAAACTTAATGAAGTTAGTCACTAGCTGATAAACTAAGCCTGAAATGTCATCGTAGAAACAAGTACACACCGGAACATGCAACTTGTCGCTCATTTTAGCCATCAAAGACCAATCCTCTAGTGCAGGCTCCTTCGCAACTCTGTATATGGAAATATCACACAATGGTCAGCGAAGAACCAATCTGCACAAAAGTCAGCATTTAAATGAATGAACCAATCTGCACAAGAATAGGAGTAAGCGAAGACACACCCTTTAAGGTTCAAGACACTCAAAATCGCCTCGTGTGCCTTTTGTTCCTGCTCAAACAAGTTTAAAAGTGTAAAGACATTGGTGGTGAGAAATACCTGTTTACCCAAACTTTGAAACTATGTTGGAATGAGAAAGCTACTCACTTTGAGAAGCAATGGAATGTGCCAAATGTTGGGACAATCATAGAGAGTGACAACGTTTTCCATCTGGAAATGCATTATATGTTATTTACCACAATGTTTGTATGTACAAAGAGAGAAAGATTAAGTCTTGTCTTGCAAATTTTACATACCGGAACATGGCAAAACTGAGAGAGTTTGGCCTTCACGTTATCTTCAAGTGGCTACAAAACCAAGTATCAATGCAAGAATTTAGAGCCAAGACTGAAGAACAAAACGTTACCAAAAACAAAACAAAAATAAATTAACAAGGATGATACCTTTGAGCTTCGGCAAGCCAAGATATTAGGGCTCAAGCCAAGGCCTCTTAAGTCTCTAACGCTATGTTGTGTTGGTTTAGTCTTCTGTAAGCAAGCAATTAGACGTTGTTAGGACGACAAATCCAAAGAGAAAGCCAACAGACTAAACAGTATATCAAGAATCAAGAAACTTGCCTGTTCACCAACAACATTCAATACAGGCACAAGACTGACATGGATCAAGCAAAAATTACCAGCGCCTGAAAAAAGGCATAAAAACACATCACTCAAATCTTTGACATCTTAAGTAAGCAGAACACATACACACACATAGAACCATGTCTTACCAACGCGATACGAGAACTGCCCAAGAGCCTCAATAAAAGGCATGGATTCAATATCTCCTGCAAAATTCAAACAGTAGCTCCATGTTTTAAAACCTGACACTGAGTTAAAGTCTCTCTATGAGGAGAACTAAACTAAAAGTACCTATTGTTCCTCCAAGTTCAATGACACAAACATCAGCTGGACCTGATTGTCCATCCACTGGAATCCTAGCTGCACGCTCAATCCATTCTTGAATAGCATCAGTGATATGAGGAACAACCTACAAAACCCACCAAGAAATTTCAATAAATCTTCATCTCTTTCTCTCCCTCAGGGGAAGCTCATTGAACAGATGGTCTACGTAAAATATCAGTTTGTTTTTCCTAATTACCTGAACAGTCTTCCCAAGATAATCTCCTTTCCTCTCTTTCTCAAGCACTTGCTGTTTTCACAATTTTTTTAATGTGTAAGTTCAAAAGTCATAATCAGACATTCCTATCTTTGTTTTCACAACTTCCAAAAAAGACACAAACCTTGTAAACTTTTCCAGTAGTTATGTTGTTTTCACTGGTCAACTTAATATCCATGAACCTCTCGTAGTTCCCAAGATCAAGATCAACCTTTTGTTTAACCAAAGAAACAAAAAATTCATTTTTTTTAAGAAATAGTTGTTGACCTAACAAAGTAAATGACATTTCCTTAAATAGAAACAGAGCAGATGGTGAAGAAGATTCATTAAATTTTGTAATACCTCGCCACCATCGTCCAAGACGTAAACTTCACCATGTTCAATAGGTGACATGGTCCCAGCATCTATGTTTAAGTAAGGATCTGAAACATTTTCACAAAACCCGACCTTCTAATCAGCGATTAAGTACAGTAATTAACACCAAAAAAAGAAAGTTTTTTAACTTTTTTTCTGACAAAAGTCATGAAATTTTCAACAGGGTTAACAAGAAAAATGGAAAAATATTAAATCTTTTAGAAAATCGAAGATATTTTTTTAACTTTTGTTTTTGATTTAGCACTTTTCTACACGCGTGAGAGGTAGATAAAAAAAAAGGTTGGAAAAAAAAACTCCTTTTTCATGTTTGTTGTACTACTGGGGCCAAAAAATCAAATCTGAAACTTTTCCTTTTTTCTCTTCAAGTTGGGAGAGAAAAAGAATCAAAAGTAAAAGTGAAGAATAGAAAAGAAACGAGCTTTGTGTGAGAAGAAGAAAATATGGCGAAATGTTCGTTTTACATGAAAGAAATGACAAGGGTTTGTTGTAATGAGAAGAGAAGAAAGAAAAAGATACCGATTTTAATGGCGGTGACTCGGAATCCACAGGACTTGAGGATGAGACCGATGCTACTTGCCGTGACTCCTTTTCCGAGTCCACTCACTACTCCTCCTGAAACCACCACATACTTCATCTTCTTCCTTTTGCTTGTTTCACCTCTTCTTCTTAAAGATTACTTTTCTCAGCTTCCTGTAAAAAAAAAAAAAAAAAAAAAAAAAAAAAAAAGACAAACCTAAGTGAGATAGAGAAAACAGAACACAGAAACAGAGGAAAGCATATAGCTTTGTGGTGGTTTGTCTCCACAAATAACGGTTCTAGTTTAATTATTATTAGAAACCTGCATGTTTCATTTCGGTGTGCTGATTATTTATGCTATAGAGAATCAAGAATCTGTCCTAAGTAAGTAGCAAAAAAACAGAGGAAGACTGAGAAAGTCGCTGTTTGTATGAAATTTTTGTTACTTTATTATTAACAGAGAGGAGCAAGCAAGAATGAAAACAGAGGACCAAAAAGAAGAATTCTGAGTTCTTGACTTTATTGTTAGGAGTTGAAAGTGTAGAGACAATAGAAACGAACGAATAAAGTTAAGTAGAGGAGGTATTAAACTTACCTAGATTTTTAATACAAGACTGAAAGTAGAGATATATCCAAATGTGAAGTGTGTTGAATGAGAGATGGTGAAGGTTGAAGTCCCTTTTTATAAGCAGTGTCCTCTTTGAAGAGAAGATGACTCTTTCGTATTTAATTTGCGATTAAATTCTTAAACTAATGCATTACTCTCTCTCTCTATATATATACCAATTTATACTACTTTTTCATTTTTTTTTAGTAATGGGTATTTTTACTACTACTAGACAAAAGAAAGAGGACAAAATCACTAACACACTGTTAATTTTTGGTATCGTGATTAGGACTTTTTTTTGGGTGGTCAATGTATCTTGAATAGGAGTATAGGACTTAAGGTTCTCTTTTTATTTCCTGTGGCCAATTGTTATGCAATGCAAGGAGTTATGTTTTTTTTCTTCTGACTGTACAACCTTGCTTGCTAAGTTTCAAAGTATAGTGTAACTATAGTGTGACTTTTTTCCCCCTTGGAGCTGTTGTTGTAATTTAAAGATTTATAATGGACAATAAATTTCTTAAAATAAACTTAGTTTTTTCAAGTTTTTTCTTACTTTAAAACTTAGAATCCTGATTAGAAATGTTTATAGATAGGTGTTTATTACTTGCACTAATACAGTTATTTTGATACTAGCAAAAATGTTGATTTTATTGACATAGAGAAAAGTATCACTAGACTAATCGATCCCTTTGTGCTTGTCCACTTATACTTTCAATATTACATAATGTATTTATTAACAGAAGCATAGAAAGGTATACTTTTAACTGAAATTCAAAGTTTACAGAGCTTACAATACAACCCTTTATACGTATATATAGCATTAAGAAATTCAGACAAACTTTTGATTTTGTTAATTAGTATAAATATATTTAGAGTTTTGAGTTTTGACTAAATTGTTACCATGGCGATGGGCCACTGCATGTCTTGTAATTTTACCTACTACATTTATATCCAGTCAATGTTCTTAAAAATGGTGATAAAATATTTTAAATATCAATATAGTTTTAAATGTTAACCACTGTAAATGAGTTTGTGTTATAATCATACAATCAGACTTATACGGGTTATCAATTTCAAAATTACGTTGGAATCTAGTTATTAGTTAAGCTGTACTTATAAGAACTTATACATTTTACTATTGAATATGAAATTAAAAATAAGTAATTTGGTTTGTGCCATTTGTATACTACTATACTGGTATATTAAATACATATTCACGTCCTTTTAATAGATAAAAAATACATATTCACTTCCAATATTTTTCTTTCTTTATTCGTGTCGGATCCTACGGATACGGGACTTTGAGCCCTGTGAACCGCAATTCCAGCAACGGTATTAACTAATGCCCTGGGCCGGGTCGTTCCTTTTTTCCTCTTTCTACAAGTGTTATTATTCTATTAGCCTATTAGGTCTTAGACAATCATGCCTAGTAAGTAGTACGTAACAATATTTCAACTGATCCCGAAAAAAATTAGTTAGTTTGCGTGCATCTGATCAACCATTTCAACGTTTTGTTATACGATATTCAAAACATTATCGGTAAGCAAATTAAAATCAAGTTAGCAAATGGTTTAGTTTGGCTCCGGATCATGAATAGAGCAAGTAAAAATTTCAGTTACGAGTAAAATATAGTTATATTTGTGGTGAAAAATAAAATATAATATTGTTAAGTTTTTCAAAGACAACCATAAACAGTTTCATTATTGCATTTTGTTTTTAAATAGTACACGGGCTATTGTAGTAGCTTCTAAGTTTGTTCATCATGAGTCGTAGTTACTTTACAAATTGAAATCATTTGATAGTGTAAGTTTTATACATTTCCATTACTTAAGTGAAGATGTACGTACTTTTGTAGAAGATGTATATGTGATTTTGTGAGGAGATTTGAGATGGAAAGTCAATGATGGTTTTACGAGGAGGAATATTTTATACTGAAGTTAAAGAATATGAATGTTGTTTAAATTGTAATAACTTTCATTTCCGAAGAACTTTTCAATCGCATTCGCATGCAAATCCAAAAAAAACTCCCCCACGCATTTTTCCAACGTATATTTATGCGAATCCGTTTTTCTTGACTATTTTGATACATTAATTACAAACCTATCCTATTAATTACATGATCTTATTATACTTGTAGTCTAGGCCTTAATTCATGAGTACATTACTCAACGACCAGTCGATCACTTAGTAGCTAATTAATGTGAATTTTCAGTAACCTTTGGTTCTTCGGGAATTTCATAAGGATGTTATTGTTTTTATTTAGTAAATATGTTACCTTTTGTATGTACATTAGTGTAACATATGTCGAGGATTTGACAAAATATATCACATGCACATGGCATAATATAGTTTTTCTGTCCTAGTTCCTACTACTAAATCTATCACCCTGAAGTGTCACTAACTGTACCATTAACAAATAAGAAAAGAAACTTAAATAGCATAAAATAATAACCAACGGCAGTTATGGTATTCTGGTGATCTAAAAACGATCATGTGGGTCCACATGCATCTGATGTTGTTGTGCTTATCAAGGAAATTTGATTACACAAGTAAATGCCAGAGCTAACCAAAGTAAATTTCTACCAGATTTTATAAACTCAAAAAATATTTGCCAAAACTGACCCAAACCCTAAACGCCTACACCAATTGGCGGAATTTGGCTGTGGAGCTAACTTTTTATGCACAAATAATATTATAAATCTTATTTTCATACCTATTTTATACTCCTGTAAAAATAAATACTGCTTTTGGCAAAATGTATAAAAATTACAGTATATTATTATTACAGTATAATACTGCTTTTGACAATTTGTTTTTTTTTTGTTTGTTTTGAGATTATATAACTTGCTTCTTCTTCTTTTCTTTTCTTTTTTCCTTTTTTTTTTGGTTTTGGAGTGTAAAATAACTTCGTGCAATATAAATAACTTGCTAAAAGTGTATATGTTAATTAGGCCTTGATTGTTTGAAGATTCTAGATTAGATTCTGGTTTTTGTTTTTTTTAAACCAGTTTTTTTCCAGTCATTATTTTGGTGAAATAGATTCCCTATTTTTTAGGGAAACTAGTTTTTGCAGGTGTTTGCCATTTTCAACACAGAAACCAAAATCTCATTTTTTTGGGTTTTTCCTCGGATACTAGACCGATAGATTTTTTTAACCCTTTTATCCTTTTTTGTTTTGTAAAAAATAACTATTTATGGGTATATCATTTCCTATATAAGAAACGATCTTGTATGCAGCTAAACACACTAGCTAAATCTCATAAATAGTATACTCCCTCCGATTTATTAAAATGCATTTTCTGAACATTTTTTGTTGTTTCACAAAGATAAAATTTTAGCTTTTTGAAATACTTTTTCAGTTTTTAAGAAACAATAATTGGATTTGTCAGATTTGTATTGGTATAAATTTATATAAAATTGTTTTATTGCCAAAACACTAATGATGGATAATCAATTTTTTCTTAATATGTGTGAAAATTCTAGAAAATTCATCTTAAAAAACGGAGGGAGTACTTCTCTACAAATCAAGCTATCAAACTACTGGAGATTTATGGGTAATTAGTTAATTATTAATTCTATATAGCTTTAGTCAATACTTTTACCGTAGTTATTATAGTATATTATTTGAAATTTGTTAATCACTAGTATTATATGGTACACTGTGATTTAGTTTTGTATTTTAAAAATATAGATATATGTATTATTTTCTGATATTTTCCATACATTTTTTTTTTACCATAGTTGAATTTAGTTTGTTTTAAAAATCTGACTATTAATCATGTGAATTTTTATTTTTCTGAAAAAAGAATATAGACAAAAACCAAAAACTAAATAAGTCACCCATTCAAGTTTCTGAAAAACTGAATCTACAGCAAAACCAAAATCTAAATCCAAAATCCAAAATCTAAAAACCAGTCAAACATTAGTAAAATCCTCTTACAACGGCCATAATTAGGAAAAAAAGGCTATGCACATTGAGGATGTCTACCATCTTAGCTAATATAATTTCATACATTCTTATCATCTTATGTCTGCTTTTGCCGATGGATTAGCGTTAAAGGGCACCAACACTTGAGTTCTGGATAGTAACTAATATCACCATTTTAAATAGATGATTACCTATATATGACATTCTTCACAGACAATTATATTTGGTATATAATAAGGTTAAATCCGTTATAGGTCTTGTAATGAAGCTAAATTTTTATAGGAACAGATTCTTTTTTAATTAAAGATGTATGAACCGAGGATATCAAAGTGGGTCAGTCAATTTATCTGTTGAACCATTATTTTAGTTGACCGACTTGTTAAAGAACATAGCCCTCAACATAACGTTGTAAGAGCATCCGCATTGCTCATCCTCACATATAGGCTCTTTGATTTTTTTTTATTAATTAAAAAAATGAATTTCGAGGAAAGAGAAATAATTTAAAAAAAAAAAAAAAACAGATAAGTAATCCAATCAGGTGATGACACCTGCTAGAACCCATCCCAGAATCGCCTCCAAAACT